AAAAAAAAGAATCTTCTTCCTTCTTCCTCACATTTCAACACTTCGCTCGCTCATATGTGCCAGCTATTCCTGCGATCCCTTGAGCTTTGCGGGGCCGAGTCTCAGTAAGTCCTCACGGACAAATGAAATGCTTCATATCCTGAGCTCGGCACATAACCCCATTTTGGCGCCAGCGGAGCTTGCAACTTTGAGGATGCTGCATGAGATATCAGAAAATATCAATATACCCTTAACACATGTCTCTGCAATACTTTATTACTGTAGGCACTAGAAATCGCAGGTAGTACGAGTTCAGCTCTATTGAGAAGGACCAAGCTATTAGCTTTTCACGGCAGGCCAGCGGGCTGTCTCTCACGAATGTATTCAATGGCTGCAAGATGCTTTCTGTGCCAATCCTGGGATTTTCTCTGGTATCGTTCGGCTTGGGCTTCATGTTCCCGCCACGATTCATCGGAAAATTGGCCAATCCTTCTGAGGTAAGTACCAGAGGTTTCCATAGCCTGCGTTCTGCATTCGTAAACCGAAAGAGCCGCGTCTGCGGCGTCACGACAGCTTCGGGCGTACCCCTTGAAGAATTGGATCCACGTGCTGCTATCGTTGGTCCCATTAGCCTCACTTCTTCTGGCGCGCCTAATCGTCCCGGTGAGGTCTTTTGTGTACCTTTCTGCACTGTTCTTTCGTGGCGTGTGAAGTTCCAAAGTTAGACGATGATACATGCCGCTCAGTGCCATGAATTCGTTGAAAGATTCTTCATCGAACTCACTTGGCGAAGGGAGTGAAAGGGCATAATCTTTGTGTAACTCGATCAATTTCTTCTTCCACAGGAGATCAATTCTGTCAGTTGTGAGGGATCACTCGGATGCATAGAACTGATCATACTAGCTCTCTTTGACGCGATCTAGACTTGCTTTGCGAAGACATGGCCACGAGCTTAATTGGATTACATTGAAGTAGTAGGGTCCCTTGATAATTGGTCCAGATGATCATCGATTGTGAATGAAGAGGTTTCATGCTCTGCTTGTAGAGCACTGAGAGCCTCTCGGAGTACTCGTGGCGGACTGTTCAGAAATCCCCTTTGTTCTTTGTGGACTTCGCCTTTTTTGATGCTCGGTTTGTATAGATCGTACTGGACTACTCCGCCATGCACGCCATTCGAAACCCACATACTTTGGAGTACATCGCTCAAGACAAATTCATGCAGAGTAGGTGTCGTTTTTCGATACACAAAGGGAACAACTGTGTAAGAAGTAATCACCAGCAATGATAATGTCATGAAACGGGGTGTGAGAGGTGGAAGGTGGCTTATCTGTGTGTGAAAGATGGCCATGGTGATCCCTTGCTGCACCTAGCTGCAGAAGACCCCATCGCCGCCGGTCGAGCGTGTTTGATCCAGCAACGCCCCAGGCTCGCAGCGCCGCAAACAACAAACGAACAACGAAGCCGGACGAGAGATGGCAAATACAAACATTTCCAAAGTGAGACAGCTCTACGAGCGTATGATTGGTCCTGGACCAGTCGGCAGACTTCTAATACTTGTCTGTCTCCGACATCTGCAAATTTGTTGCAAGCTCCGTATGATTGGATGTCAAGATAAGTGTGATTTGTGCAAACTTAGAAATTGTCTCGATCTCGGAATGGAAGAGTGGCTCGTCACATGTTACATGGGTGTATTGCACAACTGGGGAGAAGATGCGCCCGCTTTCGCGGCTTGGAATCCCGGGACCCCGAACTCCGATATTGGTCTACCGCCGAGAGCTACATCACGATGGCCCGTCATTCATCGTCGTGTTCGTATCATCAATTAAAACCTCATAGATTTTCTTGTTCTGTATTCCGAGCGACTGTTCATACTGTGGTGTCAGCGATTTCAGACTTGCTCGCGCAGTGTTAAGCCTTGTGTGCGCTGCGCATTCACCGATCGACAGGTGTCTTCATGGTCACAAACGTGCAGGCGACTGTCATTCGCAGCGGCATCGACATCCAGGGAATGCAGGTGGTGATTATTTGAGAGCATCATCATAAACATCATCGCGAAACACGACAAGGATTCGCAAGTTTGTGAACGTCCCGCGATCGGAAAGGCCCGCACACCAGCTCGACGTCACGTCGCCATCCAACGCGCCCCCACAGGAGACCTCGCCTTCGAACGACCTGATATCGGTGCACTTCTGGCCTTCTTTATTGTAATTTCGAAACATCACCGTCCAAATGGATATGAAACTCTGGGCGATTGCCGACATTCACTTGTCCTTCAAGGGCAATTGGGAAGAATGGGCCAAATTGCGAGCTCGACGCGAGGAAACCAGGACCGGCGAGAAGAAATTAGCGGATGGACTAATCCTAGCTGGAGATGGTAAGTTGTTCACGATTCTCGTCGCGATAAACATACAGGCTTCGGGCGCATTGCATTGCTCGCCCTTGGAAAAATTTGGTGCAAAGCAAAATTACGACGTCACTACTGAACATGATAAGCGCCGCCTGAATGCGCTCAATGGCGCTGGGGGCATGAATCCGACAAGTACTGACGGATTTGATAGTTGGCGAAACCATCGAACATGCGAGAGAAGCCTTCAGTCGAGCCATCCAACATTTCAAGCACGTCTTCTGGGTTCCCGGAAACCACGAACTATACACATCATCATCGCCCGCCGTCGACGAGTCCGAACGTGCTCTACGGGGTGAAGCGAAATATCTCAAATGCGTCGAAGTCGCCCGGGAGTACGGTGTACTTACTCCCGAGGACGAATTCATGACCTGGAATTATGCCGATACTGACGGCACCGCCAAGCAAGCTCTCATCTGTCCCATTTTCACTCTCTACGACTACTCTTTCCGTCCGGATCATGTTTCGCGCGAGGAAGCTCTCGATTGGGCGCTGGAGGAAGGCATTCAAGCTACGGACGAACAGCTCCTCCATCCCGACCCTTACTCTACTCGCGACGCCTGGTGCACGCGGCTAGTCTCGCAATGCGAGTTGAAGCTTGAAGTTGCCGCTACGACAGGTATTCCGCTTGTGATAATCAATCACTGGCCACTCCGCGAAGACCTTATCTACATCCCACGCGTGCCACGCTTCACATTGTGGTGCGGAACAAAAGAGACACACGATTGGCATACACGCTTCAATGCCAAGGTCGTAGTCACCGGTCATCTCCACGTCCGACGTACAGATTGGATTGACGGCGTCCGGTTCGAAGAGGTCTCTCTTGGATACCCGCGACAGTGGGACGATGCAAAAACCGTCGGTAATGACATCAACACGATGCTGAGAGAAATCCTACCTGGCCCGCCGACGCCGGAGAAGGGCAAAGAGCCGCCGACGCAATGGAGGCGGTATGGGTCTGTCACTGAGACACAGGCGCCGGATAGGAAAGTAGCGACTACATAATGATTGAGCGAGGGGAATACAGAAGATCATGTGGGGGAGAGCGGATGCCATCACATAATGACCTTTATCGCGTCGGTCTACCGACTCAAAGTGCTATATCAATGTCCACACTTCTCGAAATCTACGGCAAAGCGTTTCCGATCCAAGCTGCGAGCCAGCGAAACCGCCAGCAAACCCGGTCGGGGTGTCCGACGGAGCTGATGCCACCCGGATGGTGATTGTATGCTGCCAATATTCTACTCTAGAAAGCCATATCGAGCACACGAGCCCGAATATAGACTATGATGCTCTGAGCAGACGCGCCAACTCCGACCATCTCCAAGTTATGCATTTCCGACAGGCATGTGGAAGACAGCTTACAACAAGACTCCACGATTCCTGTAGTTTCATTCCAAAATGGGAACAAGCCGATGAAGAAAAGGATGTACTGATATCAAGTTCCTCTCAGAGTACCAGCAGGAACTCGCTTGTTTTCCCAATAACAACGAAAGAGCATCGGCGCGAAGCAGGGCCCAAGGAAACCAACATCACTTGTCTGAACTCTCTTCTATATCATATCCCAACCCGAAACAAACCCTCAATCATACTCAACAGTCGCAAATCTCCATCTCGGACCCAGCTTTCATCCCCGACCACTACAATCTCTTCATCCCCGATCCCACAACACGACATCGGCGACCATCGCGGAACGGGAAGGCAACCGCACACCCAACTTCCTTCTCCTGCCTCCATGGGAGAGCAGACCGAAGAACGCAAAACAGCCTACCTCAAAAGACCGCCGATCCATCTTCCGACCGGCAATTACATCTCGACAGAAAGCCCTCTTTTCTACATACGACCGATGATGACGTGACGAGCCCTTCATCCACATCGATGTTCTTTCTACCCATCCCATCCCATCCCACGCCCCCTTCTCCCGAAAAATACACGGATTCCACCCGCGAGAGAAGAGGAGAGAAGAAGATGCGGTTGTTCACCCACGAGACTAGAAAAAGAAGAAGAAGAAGAAGACATGTCTTTCCGCTCTCAGATCATTCGCAGGAGAGAAGAAGCGATCACGGGTGGCTAGCAGCTGGGAACTTTCTCTTCTCCCTCTTCTCTTCCTCTTTTCTCTTCTCTTCTTTTGATGTTTCTCCCATGTTCCATTTGTTTTTGTGCATCCACACAGACGGGGCATAGGGGATGGGGGATAGGGGAGGGATGAAGGAGGGAAGAGAGAGATATTATGTATGTATGTACTCATGCGATGAACAACGATAAGAGTCGAAAGTGGAAAGGAAGTTGGGTTTTTGTTTTTGCGGCGAGACGTGTAGCGGGGAAGACTAATGGGAGTGGATATGGATATAACTAGTTCTTCTGATTCTCGCTTTCTATCCCTCTTTCTTCTCTCTCTCTCTCTTTCTCTCTCGCTTTCTGTTCTACTCCCTCTCCCTCTCTCTCTCTCTCATCATACAATTTTCATGTTGATCAAGGTACAATAGTCCAGTATCAATCCGGATGCAAGACACCCAGCATACTCCCATACTCCCACCCTTCGCTCCCCTCCTCCTTCCTCCACCGCATCAATTCCCCCCCCCCCCCCCCCCCCCCCCCCCAAACCCCCCCCCCCCCCCCTTCGCCCCATCAATTCTCTCTCCCGCACAACCCAAGCAAGACCCAAGCAAAACCTACGAAGAACCGACGAACCCAGTGCGATCTCTCGCGCAGACTTCGCATCGCCCAACGGATCTCCCACGTCACAGATCACGACCCGGGGGTCCCCGATTCCCCCCTTTCCCCAACGGTCCGTCTGAAGTCTGAGATCAAATACGGAGCTTAGTCGCCATTCACTCCCTCGCCCACGCTCGAGTCCTGGCGACGGCGGACCATGGTGAGGAAGCCGCCGTCGTCGTCGTCGTCGTCAGTATCATCATCATTGGGATCATCGAGATGCCCCCCATCCGCATCCGCATCCGTAGCATCGCCACGACGGCGGCGGTGGTGGTGATGTTCCGCGCGGAGCGTCCCGTCGTGATAATCGGCGTGGAGGTCGTTGGCGTGATTGCGCGCGGTGGCGGCGGTGCTGCTGGTGCTGCTGGTGCTGCTGCTATGGTGGGGTGGCTGTCAGCGGGGTTCAGATCTATCCGAGTAAAGAAGGAGAGGAGAAGAACAGCAGAGAAAGGAAATAAGGAAAGAGGGGAGGAGGGAAGGGGGTTGACGGGGGAGTCTAGGGCGGTGTGAAGGTGAAGAGGGAAGAGGGGAGAGGGAGGTGTGATTACAAAGGGAAAGACTATCGGGTCGCGACGATGGCATTCCACAGGCATGTCGAGTTCGAGGGGAGGAGGTAAGAGGGTGGCTAGACGAGCAGGCAGGCAGGCAGACAGGCAGGCGATCCTCTGCTCCTCGGTGGACGACAACCACCCAAAACGTAGAAGCGGAGGAATATGGGGGGTGTCCAGTTGGTGCGGGACGGACCAGTCGGGTGTCTGGTATAATCGGAGGGCGAATGAGACAAGTACGAAATGACGCCCGTTTCGGGTGGCATGGTGGTGGCGGGAGGAGGTACGACACCTCGAGCGGCGTGGAGAGGATGGTGGGGCGGGTGTCTCTATCGATGTTGAAGGAATGGGGTATTTTTGGGACGATTTGCACGACGCGCGGAGAGAAGGCCGCGCGATGGAGCTGTCTGGGGAGCTCTTCTGGTGAGAGGCGAGCACGGGGGGTTTGTGGCGGAGATTCTCGGGAATGCGGGAGGATGGAAAGGCGCGTGTGGGGCTGCGGGCGAGAAAAGGGCATGACAGGATCGGAATGGGACACGGTAAGGAAAGGGAGTTCGGGAGGAAAGAATGTTTTCAGAGCTCTGTGAGCTTCCTTGTTTTTCGTTATAGCGATGCAAACATGCCGGGTCGTTTCCTTCACCAATGTGCCATGGCGTGAACTCAGGAAAGACGGAAAGGGAACAGGGGTGAGAGATTTCATGACAACGGTGGCGCTCACGATGCATACTTCTGATTCTTATCCTCGGCCGTCGTCGTCGAGCCGTTTACTCCGGCCGACGCAGATCTCGTCGATGACGCAGAGGGCGGGGTGGAGACGTCTTTTCCGCCGGGGGCTTTGGAGGTCGAGGTCGCCGGTGGTGTCGGGGGAATGAGCATGGCATCGGTGCCGGGCGTCAAGGGGAGGCCCGCGTCACCGTCGGAAGCGTCCCCGGCGGCGTGGGGACCGGCAGGTCCGTTGCGCATGCGGAGCTTGCGTTCGGCCTGTTCGGAGATGCGGGTCAGCTCGGAGACGAAGCTCTCGCCCCACCAGGCGGAGGTGTATTTGGCGACGTATTTGCTGAGCTTGGCGTAGTTCTGGGCGCGGGTGTCCGGGGGCATGGTGACGGCGTCGTGGATGGCCTCGGCGAGCTCCTCGGTGTTCCAGGGGTTGATGATGAGGGCGCCGTTGAGCGATTGGGCGGCCCCGGCGAACTCGGAGAGGATGAGGACGCCGTGGCGGGCGGCCTGGCAGACGACATATTCGTAGGCGACGAGGTTCATGCCGTCCCGGGTGGAGCTCACCAGGCAGACGTCGGACAGGCTGTAGAGCGCGGCGAGCTCTTCGAAGGAGACGGATTTGTGCATGAAGTGGATGGGCATGAATTCGATGGTGCCGAACTTGCCGTTGATGCGACCGACGAGCTCGTTGACGGTGCTCCGGAGGTTTTGGTACTCCTCGACGTCCTGGCGCGACGGCACCGCGACCTGCACCAAGACGACCCGGCCGATCCATTCGGGATGGTCGGTGAGGAAGACCTCTAGAGCGTGGAGCTTCTGGGGCACGCCCTTGATGTAGTCGAGCCGGTCGACGCCCACGATGATCTTGACGTCTTCGAACTTCTTCTTCAGCGCTTCGACGCGGCGGATGACCGACTCGGACTTCAAGCCGGTGGCGAACTTTTCCGTGTCGATGCCGATCGGGAACGCGCCGACGCTAACGAGCTTGTTGTCGAAGGTGACACCGTTGGGGGTGGTCGGCAGGTGGAGGATGCGGGCGCACGAGGAGAGGAAGTGACGCGCGTAGTCGTAGGTGTGAAAGCCGATCAGGTCGCAATGGAGGACGCCCTGGAGGATCTCGACCCGCACGGGCAGGATGCGGTAGATCTCCGACGAAGGGAAGGGGGTGTGGAGGAAGAAGCCGAGCTTGACGTTCCTGCGCTTGCCGGCCCGGGCGATCTCCTCCCGGAGCATGGCCGGCAGGAGCATGAGGTGGTAGTCGTGGACCCAGATCAGGTCGTTGTCCTGGACATCTTTGGCGATCTCCCGGGCGAACAAGCGATTGGCCTGGACGTAGGCCTCCCAGGCGCTCTCGTCGAAGGTGATCTCTCCCGGATGGTAGTGAAACAGGGGCCACAGGATGGAATTGGAGAAGCCGTTGTAGTGACGATCGCTGAGGTCGTCGTCCATGAAGACGGGCACGGCATCGAACTCGTCGGCCAGACGGTCCCTGACGTGCTGGACCTCATCCTCGGGCACCTGCAGACCGGGCCAGCCGTACCATTTGAATTTGGTCGTCTTGGCGAGTCCGGACAGGCCAGCGACCAGGCCACCCGAGGACATGGTGAAGTCGTAGTGACCGTCCTCGGAGCGCTTCACGGTGATGGGCAGGCGATTGGACACGAGCAACAGGCGGCCCTTGAGAGCGGTGGAATCGTGAGCGGCCGGCATGGCTGCTGATGTGGTGGTGGTCGTGGTGGTCAACGTCGCCGTCGCCGTCACCGTCGCCGTCACTGTCGGAGGAGGTGAATGTCAGGAGATGATCACGTGGCGTATTTGGAATTGACTGTTCGAGTGATTCGATGCGACATCAAGGTTGACGCATGTGTGTATACATGAACGGCGGTGGGATTTCTTTGGGGTTTGATGCTGAGAGTCGGAGATGAAGTGATGGGATGGGCGGAGAAGTGGAGGGAGGGCGAGGTAGAGGTCCATGGCCGATGATGAGTGACGAGTGATGTGTGATGAGTAATGAGTGATGAGTGATGAGGGTCAGATGGGAAAGGTCGGGCGATGAGAAGTGAGGTGCAGTGCGGTGCAGTGAAGTGAAGTGAAGTGACTGCCCGGCTGGCTGGCTGGCTGGAAAGAGTGGTGATGATAAATATGAGCCTGGGGAGGGATTGGGGAAGTTGCGGCAAAGTGATCCTTCGGAGCATGCAGGTGAGGTGAAGTGGGTGAGGGCGCGCGCTTGCCGTGTGTGTGTATGTATGCGTATGTGTGTGTGAAATGTATCCCAAGGTTATTGGATAAATATTAATAATGCAGGATGATCTCCAAGCCGCTCCTGTCGTTTATCAAGCCCGACCCGACCTGACCATGCTTGCTGTTGGGAGGTATGATGTTCGATCGTGGAAGGGATCGTGTACATACACACATACGAGACGGATCGTATACATACAGGACACGGGCGAATGTTTGCGACCCATCACGTGGGCAGTCATGTAATGTCTGTCAATACGGGACCGACTGACCTTTTCGCTCCAGTATGTGTTCAATTCCGTTCAATTCAATTCAATTCAATCCAATTCAATTGAACAGGCGGCGATTAATAAAGGTGGTGTTGGTTGGCGGTTGGTATACCAGGTATACTTATGGTTGGCTGGCTTGATTGATTATGATGCAAGGGCGGCAACCATCATCATCATCGGCTGCGGTTGGACTTGCACCTTATTTGTTCCTACTCTTCCGCCTCCACCGCCACCACGGCCCACGTCTCCGGCGGGGCAGTCTTCGTTGCGAACAAAGAGGTCCAGGATTTATTTATTTTTATTGTGATTATCATCACCCGACTTCGGCAGTGCAGTGATCCCGGATCGGATCGAGGTGGTGTTTCGTGAGGAAGAAAAATGAATAAGTGAGTGTCTGGGCTTGAGGTATGATAATGATCAGACGGAATATATTGTTGCGAGTGACGATGGAGAGTTGCTACTGTAATTGTAAGGTGACTTCCGCCCGTGATTACATATTACAGCACTCGACGCCGAAAGTCAATTCCGCCCGCCCGTCCGCCCGTCCGCCCGTCAACCCTCGGAGAGCCGAAACACACACACACACACACACACACAAACATTCCCGCTGATCATACACATCATCATCCACATCATCATCCACATCATCATCACCTTCCAAGGTTTCCATGTCTCACATCACACATTCCCTCACCACACCCGGGACAAAGAAAAAACCCCAAACCCGTACCGACTGCCGGCCCGACATCTCCCGGCCGAATGAGCAGAGTCATCATGACCCATATAGATATGTCGAATCTGTCAATCAGGAAAACAAATGGATACATCGCGGTCTCACGTGATGATGCATTCATTCAGTCCAGCATCTCTTCTACATACATACACCTGGGCAGTATACTTATCCTCTCCACATAGACTACTACCCAGGTGACTGACTACTACTGCACACATCCTGACGCTGTCTATCAATGAATGATCAATACCACACACGACACAAACCCTAAGGTATGACAGCTCCAGCTTCCAATGCGGATCAATCATAACTACAGTATTCTTTTTTGATGATTTTTGCATAATTAATGATCCCACCCATCCTCCCCAATGTATGTGCACAAAAGAGTTATCCTCAATATAAGCAGATCATCTCAATCGCCTCACGCTCCGCTCCGTGTGGAAATTTATCATTGCTAGGTATTACTGTGATATAATGTAATGTAAGGGCGACGACCTTTTTCCCCACGTACAGTTTTACCCCGAATTTCATAATTTCACAATTTCGTCATCGCTCTCTCTCTCTCACACGCGCGTCGTCGCGCCCGCAAACTGTCTTTCTCCATACAAACGCGTCCTCCCTCTCTCTCTCTCTCTCTCCCTCGCGCGTCGCATTGAGATTGTCACCACCACCACCACCGCCACTTCATAAAAACCATACTATACTATACCATACATAACAACAACAACACCAACAACCTCTCCACGGATCCGGAAAAGATTCGTCACATCAGCTTTCCGCATACACGAGAGCTCCGACCCACACACACACACACACACACACAGAAGGCGGAGGAGGAGGAGGAGGATCCCCTCATCACCGACGCCGATGCCCTCCGACGCCGACCTCACCCGATGCCTCCAGCGCACCGTCCGCGATGCCCTGCGCCAAAGCCAAGACATCACCGTCAACCTCGCGAGGCGGCGCGTCGAAGAGGAATTGGATCTCGAGGCAGGCTTCTTCAAGGAAGACGTGAGGTGGAAGGCGAAGAGCAAGGAGGTCATCCAGGAGGCCTTTTCTGCTGCTGAGAAGGAGGGGGAGGAGGAGGATGGGCAGGAGGAGGATCAGGAGGAGCGGGAAGCAGAGGTTGAGCTGCCGTCGAGGAGGACCAAGCCCGGCAAGGCGAAATTGAAAGAGGAGATTCCGCAGCCGAAGAAGAAGAAGGAGGAGGAAAAGGTTGTTGTTGGTGAAAAGAGGAAGGCGTCGGGGGTGGGTTCGGCGGCGAGGAAGCGGAGGAAGGCGGCGGTGGTGGACAGCGATGATGATGAGGTAGACGAAGAGGAGGAGGAAGAGCATGACCAGCAGGATGACAATAGCAATGCCGATTCCGACGATGCTTTTGAGGATTCTGGCAAAGAAATCATAGACGAGGACGAGGACGTGATCGACGTACAACCTCACCAGGCAAAATCTCGGACAAAAGTCGTCGAGGACGATGATGATGACGACAAATCCTCATTATCGGACCCGCCGGATCGTGATAGCTCCATCGAAGTATCCAAAAACAAGAAGGAAGAAGCAGAAAACGACGACCAAAACGACAAAAATGACAACGACAACGACGACGAAAGCGACATGTCCATCCTCAACGACTCCCCACCACCAGCCAAAAAGAAGAAACGCACCACCACCAACAAACCTCCCAAACCCAAACCCAGCGCCGCCACCACCAAGCCCACCTCCAAATCCGACGCCCTCTCCCCGACCGAGGCCGAAATCAAACGTCTCCAATCCCAGCTCGCCCAATGCGGCCACCGCAAGCAATGGCACCGGGAGCTCGCGCCCTTCGCCACCTCGAATGAGAAAGTCCGCCATCTGAAATCCCTCCTCGCGGACATCGGGATCAAGGGCCGCTTCTCGGCCGACAAGGCCAGAGCCATCAAGGAGGCGAGGGAGCTGGAAGAGGAGATCCAGGCCGCAAGGGAGTTCGAGAGGCGGTGGGGCGCTGCTGGTGACGAGGATGAGGAGGAGGAGGATGATGGGGAGGGAAGTGAAGATGAAGGGAATGGAGCGAGGAGTTCGAGGGCGAAGAAGGGAGACGATAACGTCCCGCCTAGGCAGAGAAGGGGCGTCCTTCCGAAGGGTCTGGTGGATTTCGGAGACAGCGGCGATGAAGCCAGTGATTGATTTCGATGATGATGAAGTGGAACATGGTTTCGATTTTTTCTCGTTCGTTTCTTTCGATTCCGGAAACGTTGAAGTCGGGGAGGTTGAAGATCCCCTGACCTAACTTACCATTCGAAGAAGATGAAGATGAAGATGAAGATGTGATATCCGCTCAGTACCCAGAGCGTGATTTCCTGTCATATGACCTGGGAACTCATAACGAAGCATAGAACAATGCTGCAATATTGAGTTCCCTGTGTAATAAACGAGGCATCATGAATCATTTCCGCAACTTCTTCCTCGACCACGACGATCACGACCACGACGAAAAGAGGGAGCGGGGACTGACTATATATAGATTGCCCTCATGGCGACGTCCCGTGCCGACCGGGTGCGGAACATTCCTTTCCATGGATATTACCTCAGGTGGACATCATGTGCTTACGTAACTACCTAGGTGTGTAACGCCAAGCACCAGGGCGTGGCCACCCCCAGGGCGTGGCCACCAATTTCAACATGAACCACCTTCAATATTGATTATCTCAACGAATACTTAATAAATTGCTCTGAAACTCAGATATGTTATATATCAATACTGGCTACTCTACTTTACATGTTCTAGAGTTATGGCCTAATGTACCACACTTGCTACACCTGCTAGCACGCTTTGAAGGCTTCGGCATCTGCTCTATTATTTGTGCTTCTACCTCCTCTTGCTCAACTATCTCTTGGATCTGAGAGGCTGACAGAGCATGGTCTAATAGGATTGCTTTCCTCTTCCTGGATTTGCGTTTATGCATTGCTTTATTAGCCTCTTGTAAAGCAAAAACCTGCGACTGAAGTAGAGCAGCAGAAGCAGCCATTTCTTGAGCTCCTTTAGAAAGCTGGTTCAAGGCCTCAAAGATAGGTGTTGGAGAGCTGCTCTGATGTCTTTCTAGCCTTCTCTTAATCAATGTGGCCTGCTGATCCACCTCTTGGGTAGTCTTTGGAGTCTTTGTACACCAGGAGCCCTGTGAAGCTGCGCTGAGAGGTGATGAAAATGATGGGTCAAGCCTTGATAACACATCCTCAGGGTTGAATGGATACAGGCCAGAGCCTCTGAACCCTGCCTGGATGTTCTGAGGTGTGATTGATTCAAAGTATGCAGCTTTGAATGCATCTATAAAGGTGCTTTTGTTGATATGAAAGATATGGTTGCGGATCAGGTGCTGAGTCTGTTTTGAGAAGGCCTGCTTCAGAGGGCCAAAGCAGGCAACATCAAGAGGCTGGAGTATATGAGATGAGTGAGGAGGCATCCAGAGAAGGACAATATTGTTCTTTATACAGAAAGAGGTGAACTCTGGTGTTGTATGGCTCCCATGATTGTCCAGGATCAACAATCTTTTGCTGCCAATAGTCTTCATTCTTGTATGATTTTCAAAGTGTTGGATCCATTGCAAGCCAATCTCATCACTTGTCCAGCCTTGAGGGCTTACTGCAAACATCCATGTCTGAGGAAAGTCTTCTCCAAGCCATGAATAGTTGATAGTCTTGCCTTTGAAGATGAGGAGTGGTGGTATGGCTGAACCATCCGCACAGGCTCCTTGGATGACTGTGATCCATTCAGTGCCTGAAGGCTTGACTTGCTTTGGCCTACCAGTCCTTTCAAATGATGTGACTACTCTAGAAGTTGAGATCTGGCCTAATTGAAAGCCTGTCTCATCAAAGTTGTACATGTCTTGTAGTAAGATGCCATGCTTGTTGATAGTGTTCTTCACAAGCTCAAACCAAGCCTCAATCACTACCGGAGTTTCACAGAGCCTTCTCTGGCATTCATAGGTCCTTCCAGATTTCATTATTAGCGAGGGATTGCGCTGAATGAACCTGCTAGGCCAATGCCGGCCAACTTCAGGTTTTCCCTTAGCTTTGCAGATAGAATTGGCCATAGATCGTATAATATCAAGGGTAGGAGATAGCCCTTGAGAATCCTGCTTCAATATGTCCTTAAGAAGGACGCCCTCCTCGATCAGAGTAAGACTGCTATTCTGTGGCATGTAGTCCTCTCTACTAGGCATTCCTTGCAATCTGCGACGTAGTGTTGATCTTGGGATATTGTACATTTTTGCAGCGGCTGACACGGAGTCAATAGCATCTGATTTGAGAGCTGATATTGCAAGGAGTATACTCCCTTCGTTTGAGCTCATTTGGACGCGTTTTGATGGAGCCATCACGCGTTGAAGTTGTTGTTGTGGTTAATACGGAAATTGGTGGCCACGCCCTGGGGGTGGCCACGCCCTGGTGCTTGGCGTTACCGTATGTATGTATATATGTTTTCCATCCGCGTGTGATACTGTACTATAACACTATTCAGAGAAAAATCGATACCATGGTGGCGGTGATCGTGGAGAAGAGGGTGTACATTCGCAAAGCCACCTCCACCTGGAAATTAGCTCGATCCAGCGATTCAGCCGCAGCACGCCAGCGCGGTCGACCGGTGAAGGCAGGACCACACCCGCTTATTAGCACAGCTGACACTGCCATTGACTCCCAATGTCCTGCAGCATACCTCTGCTATACATCATGCCGGAACATCAGGGGATACCGAGAGAAACACAAGGCGTCCCAGGAGGGTTTCCTGACCGGGGACAAGGCTGCTCATGGGCTATGGCGCATTTCATTGGATTCCTCGTGCAGGGGACGGTTCCTTCCCCACGCCTGCACGACCATCTCGTCCCTTGCCGGTGACGCACGGCCATCATCGCGTGCAGCCGAGCTGACAGACCGGACGATCGCCATGAAGATGGTTTGTTTCTCCCTCTTATTAGTATCGGTATATACACCACATAAGCCCCCAGCGTTATCCCTACACATTCATCCACCCGAGCAGATCCACTTCCTTTTCTTTCTTTTCTCTCCTTCTCTTCCTCCACCAAGACCGCGTTTGTACAAGTGAGAAGGAGGAACGTTCGGAGCATTGCGTCCGCTCATGAAGACCCACCGATCTCACGCCTCGTGAAACCCCCACACCACCGGCGCCACGCATCATCATCATTATCATCATCGTCATCATTATCATCATCGTCATCATTATCATCATCATCCCGCCATGAAGACCAGATTCCGCGGAGGGATCGTCTGGAGGGGATTCCCCGACTCCCGCCCCGAGCAGCCGAACGACCCCGAGCCCGCCCCCATCCCGATCAAACTCGTCGCCGACCCGCCGCCGCCTCCGTCGGAGGCCAGCCCCGAGAAGACCAACCGGACCGATGACTTCTACTTAGGTGAGAGACAACAAACGTGAAAAATGTGCAACACGATTTCGACTGCCGGGTCACCCACCCTCATGAATCAACCACGGTGGCCGTCCAAGAAAGGGGACCATTCACTAACTCTCCCTCTCCTTTTTATTTCCTCTCCAGCCTGGGACAAATTCCTCGCTAAGCAGCCCAAACGCGCGACCAAGGCGTCCAAGGCGGCCAAGAAGATCGTCGAAGTCAAAGCCGCCGTCGCCGAATCCTCAGGTGATGGCCTCGAGAGCGAGGAGAATGCGGCCAAGTCTTACCGGCAGGCCGCGGACGAATGCAAGGCGCGCGTCGCGGCCATCGTGAAGGAGTGCGAGAGGCTCAATCAGAAGTATCAGGATCGCTCGTTCGATCTGGATAATGATATGGATTGCATGTTGGCGCTGGATGGGCAGGCGTAGGTCCTTTCTTTCTCTTTTTTTTTTCTTTCGTTTCTTTTTTTTCTGGTTTCCTTGGTATTGAATAGAGGGTTGGGGCGTTCGGTGTTTAAGTGGCCATTTGCTGACCAAGGAGTTGCCGCTGTACAGTCCTGGGTCCGTTAGTAAGTCCTCCCCACTCACCTCAATAATAGAAGACAGAGAGCACAATTCAGGAAAGAACGGTCGCCTAATTTGCATTGCGATGAAACAGAGGACATTGATTTCCCTCCCTGGGTGAAGCGCGTCGAGGACATCTTTGACGACCCGCATTTCTTCATCGACGGGGCCAGCGCTGAAGATGTCCACCAGGGCAACGATGGAGATTGCTGGTTCCTCGCCGCTCTCATGGCCGTGACGGCCAAGAAAGATCTCATCAGTAAACTTTGCGTCGCCCGGGATGAGAAAGTCGGAGTTTATGGATTTGTGTTCTTCCGAGGTACAGCAGCCATACCCTCCCCTGCAAACGTCCGCCCGTCGGAAAGATACTCCCATCCCGGACAACTGACACGATTTTCCCCTCACAGACGGGGAATGGATCTCCGAAGTCATCGACGACAAGCTCTACCTCCGCGTCGGCGACGACGACAACCTCGCCATCGTCCGCGACCTCGGCAGCAAAGAGGCCCGCTCCACCAGCATCTACTACGACGACGAGAAACTCAAGGTCCTCCTGCAAAAGGGCGGGGAGGCGCTCTACTTCAGCCACTGCAAGTCCAACGAGACATGGCTGCCCCTGATCGAGAAGGCCTACGCCAAAGCCCACGGCGACTACCGCGCGATCGAAGGCGGCTGGGTGAGCGAGGGGATCGAAGACCTCACCGGCGGCGTGGCGGTCGGGTTGAACCCCGAGGACATCATGGATAAGGATCGCTTCTGGAAGGAGCAGCTCATGGAGGTTAACAAGAAATATCTCTTCGGCTGCAGTTCGCATCTGGCCTTTCGCAAGGGCATCTATGAGACGCATGCCTATGTGGTGCTGCAGGCGTGGGAGGAGGGCGATCTGAAGCTGGTGAAGATTCGCAACCCTTGGGGCGAGAGGGAGTGGATGGGCGATTGGAGCGATGGGGACAAACTCTGGACGGCGGAGATGATGACCAAGTTGAACCGTGAGTCGCGCATATTTTTTCTTCTCTTCGATCGGTGAAGAGGGGCAGGAACTGACACCAAGGGCAACGATAGATACTTTCGGTGACGACGGCGTCTTCTGGATGACCTACAAGGACTTCCTCAAGCACTTCCGCGCCATTTCCCGCACCCGCCTCTTCGACGAATCCTGGAAGGTCGCCACACGCTGGACCAGCGTCAACGTCCCCTGGACCCCCGACTTCCTCGACACCAAATTCCAATTCACCTTGAGCAAGCCGGGCCCCGTCGTCATCGTCCTCTCCCAACCCGACGACCGCTACTTCCGCGGTCTGACCGGCCGCTTCATCCACCAACTGCATTTCCGCCTACACGAGCAGAGCGCCTCTTCCGACGACGAGACCGACCCCGAGGCCGGATGGATCGTCCGCAGCATGCACGCCTCGGGCAACAACCCGCGCAACACCCGCTCCGTCTCCGCCGAAGTCGAAGATCTGCCCGCGGGGACCTACACCGTGCTGATCAAAATCACCACCCGGCGCTGGGACGACGACAACACCTTCGCCGAGACCATCGCGGAGACGGCGCAGAAGCGCAAGGAGAAGCTGCTCGGCGTCGGCCGCCGCTTCGACTACGCGCAGAGCAAAGGGGACCGGCGCGGCGCCGAGCGTCGCGCCCGCCAGATCAAGGCCAGCGATGCCTTCGCCAAACACCTCCTCGCCCTGCGCCGGCAGCGCAAAATCACCCGCGACAGCCGCGCCCGCAAGCGCAGACGCGACGAGCGGCGGAAGGCGGTCGAAGAGGCCTGGACTCGGCGGTTCAAATTCGAACAGTGGAAGCAGGAGATGCGCCTGCAGAAACGTGACCGGGCCAAGTCGATCAGGGAGCAGGCGGCGGCGAAGGCGGCCGAGGCGGCGGGGGATGCGGCGGCGAAAACTGCGGCTGATGCGGTCGGTCTGGATGCGAAGAGGGCTGCGGAGGCGGGCGATGTGGGAAGCGAGGCCGCCAAAGGAGTGGCTGGCACGGCCGCAGACGCGAGTGACGTCGTCAGCCCAGGGGGAAATCCTTCCGAAGTCGCTCCTTCTCCTGCAGCAGCAGCAGCATCATCCACATCGAGTGAAGGAGCCCCTATCGGCCCACTTGCCAAAACGAGCCTCGAGACTACCACGACAACCACCGCACCAACCGCGGAGACTCGCGACGCAGAAGGCAACGCCGAGACGAAAGAAGCACGCGAGACGAAATCCGATGCTCCGACCAAAGCCCTCTCGGAACTCACCTTGGACCCGATCACGACCATCGCGACCGCCGAAGCCACCGCCGCAGCCGTCGCCGCCGAAGCCGCGACAAGGACGTTCGTGACTTCCGCCGCGACCGCTGCTGCTGCTGCTGCTGAGACATCCGACGACAAGCCGAGCGGGAAGATCGCCAAAGGGGAAGTCAAGAACGAAGAAGAGCAGGAAAATCCCACAGCAGGGCTCAGGACTGACGAGGCCGCCGTGTCCAACAAGGAGGAGGCTGCTCCTCCCCACGAGGGACTTCCACCGGCCGGAGAAGAAGGAGACGAAGAACTCGAAGAAGAATTCTTCTACGAACCCTCCGTCGCCGCCCCCCCGGAGCTCGACGATGATGATTTCCCCTGGGACGCCGAGATGTAAGACCCGTCTTTTTGATTCTCCCCCACCCTCTCCATTCCCACCCTCTCCCCCTCCCAAAGGTCCTTCACTAATCATTCCAACAGCGACGGTCCCCTCCCGCCCCCCTGGTACAAACCCACGCCCGTCTCCGTCGGGAACGTCGACGCCGGCGGGGAAGACGACCCGGACGTCGACATGGACGCCGTCCATCTCCGCCGCCACCGCCGCCGCCATGGGGAGGATGGTGGTGGTGATGACGACGACGACGAGGATCTCTTCGACAGCGACGCGCAGAGCATTGGCGATGAGGCGGAGGATATGATCTTCGGGGCGGACCCCTGGAACGCCATCTGCGTCTTGGGGCTGAGGGTGTATCATTCGGCGGAGGAGCGGGATGTTGGGATTCGGGTTGTGGTGGAGTGAGGCAGTGAGTGGGTGAGTGGGTGAGTGAGTGGGTGAGTGATGAGGGATATCCTTATTATCCTTTCTCTTTTTTAAAAGTCAAAAAAGGGGGGTAAATAAAAGCAGTGAAACAAAGAGAGCTCTCCTGTCGTCTATTCGAATGTGTTCTCTCCATTACAACATCCCACAAACCGAATTCCTATCGCCATCCATCCATCCATTGCATTCATCGCATACGTTCCACCTCCTCTCAATCACCTCCTACTCCTCCTCCAATCCTCAACCCCACAGATCACTCCGATCCCCACCAGCACACAGACCCACGCCCCGAGGGCCAGGAATCCCAACCTGCGCCAGTCCTCCGACCACGCCACGCTCCCGTCGGCGGATTTCCGCCCCTGCCCGAAATCCGTCATGAGCCAACCGCCCGCCGCGTCGACGGCGGTGAGCATCGAGGAGGAGAGCTGCAAGGACGTCTGGCGGCGCGGAGAGTGTGGATGACGATGATGAGGGTGCGGGTGAGGATGGGTTTCGGCGACGCTGGCGGCGACGGGGAACATCTCGCGGATGCTGCCCGGCCGGCGTCCGAAGTGGGAAGGGGAGGAGGAGGAGGCGGCGGCGAGTTCGGCGCGGAAATCGAGGGCGGCTTCTCCTTCTTCTTCGTTTTCTTCCTCATCTCCGTTGAGATTATCATCATCATCCCCATTCTCGTCCGCAATCGCCGGTCTTCCCAGACTGACCTCCTGCGCCACCAGCCGTGCGTCCTCCTGCTGGGATGCGGCTCCGCTCTCGGGGACCGCTAGGAGTGGGGAACCCAGCAGCCGCGGAGAGCCGAGGTGCTGTGCGGCGCCGCTGCCGCCCGCCAGGAGCGGGGAGGGAGCCGCCGGCGCGGAGCGGAGTCGGGGCGATCTCCCGCGGAGGGAAGGCGAGATCGATGGTCCTCTCGGTGCCGCTTGGTGGTGGTGGTGGTGTGGACTGCTGATGCTGGGCCGTCGTGCGCGCTGCCGTGGGGAGTAGTCGGAGGTTAGGCCGCTGAGGCCGAGCATGAGGGGCGAGCCGGGGAGGGTGATGTGGGAGGGTGATCCGGAGGGTGGGCGACGGCTGTTGTCATGGTGGTGCTGGTGGTGGTGGTGGTGATCGGAGGCGTTGGGATCCATGCTGTCATTGCTCGTTGGTTGGTTCGGTTGTCCTGGGTTTGGGTGTTTGGTGATGTGTTCTTGATTGATGGAAGTTGATGCCTGGATGGCTTGAGTTGAACACTCTTCACGTTCGGCGAAATGATTTCGATGACGATGTATTCCTTTCCTAGTAATGCTCGCGGACGAAGAGTGTAATGGAGAGGTTGGTCTCCGGCGCAATGGATGCACAGCTTTCTGATGACCCAGATACTGCTTGCGAGGATCGATCTTGCCTGTGATGAGTTGAAGTAGATCATGGGTACACTTGCAAGCAGGCGCGTCCGCACGAATCGCAACTCAGAAGCTGGAGCAACAACGTACGAGACTTATATCCTGCTCAGAAGCTTTCAATAGAGAGGTTTGAATCATGATTCGTGTGTGTGTCATTGATCATACCAAATATTATACGTGACCAGTTCAATTGCCCTCCACATGCAATTTTCCGATTTCCCCCATGGTGTCCCTCCTCACGACCTTCCAGCCAACCATCCAAACTTGCTCAACCTCACCCTCGGGAGCAGACCGGCGACCACCAAGACGCTGGAGACGATCAGAGCCCAAAGCTGCATGCCCAAGACGTTGACATTGTACGTCGTGGTCGTCGCGGCGCACACCGTCGCCAACATCATGCCCAAGACCAGATATCCGCTGATGCGGTGGTACTTGTACAGGCTCTTGGCGTTGTCCACGCCGCCGTACAGGCCGGGGGCGAAGAAGGCCGTGACGCCCACGAGCGCTTGGATGAGGACCAGGACGTAGGTGGTCAGGCCGAGGATGGCGTGGGTGGATTCGAAGTGCACGCCGTTGTGGGCGGACTTGTTGTAGTAGATGATGACCAGGCCGGCAATGGCGGCGAGGAGGGCGGTGGTGTTCAGGGCGGAGTGGACGTAGGTGCCTTGTTTCTTCTGTTTGGCGGTGTGGGTGGGTTGGAGGACGAGGGTGGCCTGGATGAAGAAGAGGAGGGCGGAGGAGTTGAGAAGCTGTGGTGGTGGTGGGTGGTGTTCGTTAGAGGCACTGTCGTCGTAGGCGGTCGATGGCGGCGAGGTGGTGTTGGACTTACTGGATGAGCGGAGAAGAGCATGAGGTTCTGGGAGAAGATGGCTCCCCAGACGATGGCCACAATCTACATGTCACAGTGTGGTCAGTCCTCTACATCTCGTCTGTTTGTGGCATATACTGCCCGTCCTGCGGTGAGTGAGATGGGAGAAGAACTCACGATCCACGCTCCCGCCTGAGCGAGCACACCAGTGCCTGTCACGACCGTCCCGTGTCAGCCAGAGTTGTCCAATTCATACAGAGATTTCGTTTCCGTTTCCTCATGTCCATACCGAGGACCAGGTTGTTGTACAGCGGCCTCCCCTCGGGCAGACTGGCATCGCCCTGTTCGCCGAGAAGAGGCTCCTCTTCGCTGACGCCCGGCACACGTCGTTCTTCGATGTTCTGCGACATGGTGCTGGAGATTTTCAGGCGGTCTTGAGTGATAGATGGAGGTGAACCGAGAGTGGTTGGAGATCACCGGTGAGCCGAGAGTGGTTGGAAGATTACTGGTGTGAGTGGTGGTGGTGGTGGTGGTGAGTGAGGTCTCCCCTAGTGGCAGACTAAAGAAAGAAAAGAGCCGCCTCGAGGTGATGATAAGCAACAACAGAGATGAAGAGCGCCGTCGTTGTTCAATGGTGACTCTGATAATGACTGATTGCAGTGGACAATAAACACGATGTGTTCGTCATCTATGTACAATACAATATATACAATACAGCACATATATACATAACAGCTCCACACCGAATGCCCGTGTTAATTCCGAACTCCCGCACCAGAGAGAGAGGAAGCTCCGACCTCGAGTTCGTCATATATCTACGATTGCGTTATCCTCTGTGTCGCTGACAGACAGCCAGCCAGCCAATCGATACGCCGGAATTGCTCATCGTGGTACATCCTAGTCTCTTGGGGCTCGGATCTACCCGAACCCTAAGATATAAAGCATTACACCCATGGGATCACCAGTGATGATGAGGATGTGAAGAGACGACACATTTTCGCTTGGACGGGCACGGAATTGGAGATTGTCTTCTGCTCATTGTATGGGCATTAATCCCGCCAGACTCGGTCAGATAGACAGAGGAGAGGTCAAATTTCGTCTCATTCGAATTGGCGGGAGACACTCGTATCAAACGCTTCTCCAGAGAGGCAGCCGTGAAGGAGGGCCCGTTTGAGCCGGGGATGGCGGTATACTCCAGCTACGATAGACACACGCCATGAACAATGTCCACGTCCAAAACAAAACACCCCGAAGGCACGGCAAACCACACATCAATCCGCTGCGACGATCCTCAAAACCCCTTCCCGAGCAGCACCGTCTCCCCGCCCGCTCCGTACCAGAGCGCGCCCTTCCTGAACTCCAACCCCTTCTCCTCGCCCACGACCCACTCCCCTCCCTCCTTCCCGGCAGTGCCGTCTCCCTTCGGCCAGTACTCCCTCTCCAACCACGCATTCACCTCCGCGATGGCGTCCACGAAGCCCCTCGTCTTCTCCTTTTCAACTCTCCCATCAGGACCCTCGAAATCCTTCTTGGTGACGAACCTCCCGATCGTCAGATGCGCCGAGGGGATCACGTAGCGGCTCGCGACCGTGACGTCCGTCCGACTCGCCATGGCGAAGATGTCGCGGCGGAGATGGTGATATGTGTATCCGTCGCCATCGCCATCGCCATCGCCATGCTTCCCGTCTCCACTCTCGCTGCGAGGTTCGCCGGCAGCAGGGAGGAAGGAGAGCGCCAGGGCCTGGGCGTCGAAACTCACGCAGGGCTTCACGAGGCGCGCGCGGTGGGACGCCGGGTAGTCGGCGATGGGCTGGGCGTGCGGGAGCAGTTTGTCGACCAAGGCGTCGATCTCCGGCGCGGTGAGGGAGTGGGTGATTTCCAGGGCGGTCATATGGAGGTTTGGGGAGGGCATGAGCCAGAGGTCTATAAAACTTCCATCGCGATCGTTAGACCAGATCTCCGATTTCTTTTCTGGCCGTTTCCTGAACATATGCTTGCAGTCTTCTCTCTCTTTTCCTTCGTGGAAGATAGAGAATATTGTAAGGAGAAGGGTAGGATGGGTGACTCACTCGGCGCAACCTCCCGCAACCTCCTCTGCACCTCGACGATCAGATCCCTCACCCTCTGTGTCGGTCTCGCCCAGAACACCAGGCAGTGCCGCGGGTCTTGGAATCCTGGCTCGAGTTCGGGGTCCTCGAGTTTCGCGAGGATCTCGTCGGGCGTGACACCCTGGAAGTCGGGCGAGAGGAGCTTGTCCCGCTGTTGGGCGTTGCGGTTCGTGCGGTGCGCGGCGTAGCGGGCTTGGATTTGGGTCTGTCATGTATGGTCAGCATTTCCTGTGCCAGACGATGTTTTCTTTGCTTCTTGGACGGGTTGTCGTCTTGCACGGCTGACGATCCATGTGGAATGGACAGCGTACCGCGTTGTTCTCACATGCGTCGATGACATCTTGGTAGGGGTTATCGGATTTGACTCCGTTGCTGGAGGCGCCGGAGAGATCTTCGAATGTGTAGAACGCTGCCATGGTAAGCTGATAAGTCTGAGCTGGTCTTGGTCCGGTTTAATTCTTGATGCGACGTCTTCGCTTCAAATGTCACGATAGCTGCTTACAGCTGTGAGGCCCGGGTAAACATCGCGACATTGATCGAGTCATGGAGCTTGACAGTGGACGTCGATCCATGGACGGCAATACACACACACACATATACCCCACGTGCCACTCGAACGCCTGCTCTTGTTGTGGAGCACAGTCCAGATTACGATGCTCTCATGTTGGAAATGGCATGGCGGTGGATCCCCATCTCAAACACATGATTATTTCACTCACAGGAATCCATCCACGTCGGGGAAAGGGACACATTTGACTTCGTTTTCATTTAAGGCGCACATCAATGTCCCAGCCCTCGATGAACACATGTATGCATCGATGAAAAGAAACGCCCAGTAAGCAGAGGATACACAACACGCCAGAAGAACCCCAGCAGCCCCACCCGTCCCGGCCGAAACCTCGAGCGAAAAGAAAAGCCCTTGTTGCTCGTCCTTGGATCTAAGACCGATCGCAGATGCAATCCCACGACGGCGACGCTGATGATGACAAAGAAAAAGAGGAAGAGCACATCTATGAGGTGGCGGCGGTCTCCTCTTCCTCCTCCTCGCCGGTGAGGGCGTTTCGCTTTTGCTGGACACGCTCCTGTCGTCGTTCGCGAGCGGCCTTGGTCTTGGCACGCTTGGCGTCCATGTCGGATCGGATCTTCTCCTCACGAGCCTTCTCGGCCTTGGCCTTGTGGATCTATTCATGTTGTCAGTATTGCAGGTCGGTTGAGATGACTTCCGTGGTGGTGATGTCATCATGGCCACGGTGGTGGAAATGACTTACGTGCTCGACGAGGGCACGCTTGTGCTTGAATGTGTTACCCTTGCTCAAGTGGTAGAGCTCGTGGTAGAGGTGCTTGTCAATCTTGCCGGCGGCACGGTACTTGACGAGTAAGCGACGAAGGACTCGCAGGCGGCGCATCCACAGAACTTGGCTGTAAGATCACTGTCAGTTTTGAACTCGAAAAACTGCAACGTGAAACCATTCTATGCTCTCCAAGCGATCCTTCCAATACAATCGTTCCAGCATATCTCCCAGCTGTCCCAAAGAAATCTCCGCTGCATCAAACTCACCTTGGCATTCTTGCGTCGGCAGTACCCTTCCTCTTACCGAAACCACGGTGTCGTCCCATTCGGCGGGCGAGGTTCAACTCCCGAGCGCGGGCACGCGAGTGCATTGTGACGGGCTTCTTGATGATGAGGCCATCGGCGAAGAGTTTGCGGATAGTCTGACGTGAGTTGGCGTTGGAGATCTCGCTGATCTCATTGGGGTCCATCCAAATCTTGCGCTTGCCGCAGCCACCGACGGCCGCCGCCAGGCGCTTCTGAGTGGTGAGATTCGACCTACGCGAAGCAAGAGGTCAGTCATGCCTCTCCTCGTGGTTCATCATGTTTTACTGGTCTCGACGGGTGGCGTTGGGTCGAAGCGGTGAGGTGTCCGGGGCGTCATGACGGCAGGTGTATGAAGAATTTGAGAGCGACGAATATGATCCAGATCACATCCAGCTATCCAGCAGGCGGTTGACTTACATCTTGACGGTATATGGCGATGGTCTTGATGGGTGCGGATGCGATGAATGGGCTGACGTTGTCGAGGTTGTGCGTTGTAATTCCCCTCACAGGTTTCCAAGCCAAGACTTCCACTCCACTAGCGCGAAATTGGGTTAGCGCCCCACGATGAGTCAAATTGAGCGTGGCCCAGTTGAAGGTGTGCAATTGTGCAAATTGTGCCCTAAGAACCACGACGACGACCAATGCTTGACAACAAGATTTGCCGTCTGGCCAAAAGAATTGTCCGCCGTGCAAGCTCCAGCTGCTGAGCTTTTATACTGCCAACCTAGTACTCTTACACTTGCACGTGAGAGCACATACCATATCGAAGAATTATTCAATTTGGTTGTGATGCCCTCCCAGATATGTCTTCACCCACCAACACATCTACTTCAAGTCGGTCCGATCATGAACGGAGACGTAGACGATCACCACATGTTGAAGATCCTTGGTAGACAGCACATACAACCGTCGAATAATATTATTTTCAGTGCATCAGCATCGTGAACTCATCTAATCATCCCCAAAAGCACCTTCTCCTAGATCCACCCGACCGATGCTCCAGACCTCCCTCTCATCATCAACCTCATCGCTACTGAGTCCCAAGCCTCCCTGTCCACCTTCCGCCTCCTTCCTCTCCCTCGCCTGACTGCTCAGCCTCAACGCAATCCGCTTGAAGTATTCTTGCATACTACGCTTCTCCGCAGGGGGAAGGCTAGCTCCAGGCCCGCTCATGTAGTTATCGAACACAGCACTCTCTTCTTCGACTACCGAGAACATCGCTAGGAATGCGGCTTCGGCGGAGAGCTTGATCGGAATGACGGGATCACGTACGCAGCGGAAGACGGGCTGGACGAGAGTTGGGAGATGTGAGCGGATGAGGTCGTTGTGCTCTCGGCTAACGGTGCGGAGGACGACCAGGGTGAGACGGCGAGCATCGACGGGCTTGCCGACGGGTAGAGTTCCAGCGAGAGCTTCTAGAATGGGTTTCGTGGGTGCGTAGCTCTTGTCGCTGGATTCTGTCAACAAGTACTTTCCTGCGGCGAGGATGGAGTTATCTGCAATGAATGGTTGATTGCTGTTGATGCCTTGGGCAATGACCGTCCTTGTTTGTTCCTCGAATGGGTCGATCAGTGCTTCCGGTGCCTCGGCGAGCACAGCGTTCAGAGCCAACACCGAGGAATTAGAAGACGTGTTCAACAACACTCTTGATTTGATCAAGCTTGCAGCAGGTTCTGCAGGAAGCACCTTGATAAGTGCGCCGAGAAGTTTAGCAAAAGTGATGTTCAAAGCGTCATCTCCCTCGCCGCTCTCCGAATCTATAAGACCCAGAATAGAGTTTCTTGAAACTTCGTTCATGTTCGCGCCCGCTTTGCTGACGACTTCGTATAGTGCCTTGAGCATGGCAGTTCTGACTCCAGAGTCTGTCGTTTTGGAGCCGGTCACGAGTTCGGCAATGAGCGGATCAACACGGGGCGTCATCGTAATAAGAGTTCCAAGAGCCTTGGCTGCTCTGGAACGAAGAACCTCGCTGGTGGGATCTGCCAGAGACTTTGCAAATGTACGTTGCAGCTGTGGCAAGAAGGGCTTGAGGAATGTAGGAATCTTCTCAAGCAGGTTGTTAAGCGTGAGTAAGATTGCGGCCTTGAGATCTGTAGAGCGCTCTGATACCACACGAATAAGAGGACCTGTGATCTGGGTCACGAACGGCTTCAGTCCTTCTGGGCTGGTACGGTCAATCAAGTCTGAGATGGCCAAAGCAGCTTGTGTTCTCTGCTCCGCTGATCCGTTCATGAGACCCTGAAGGAAGATTGGCAGGATAGCGTTGATACCCTTGGGTAAGGAAAATCCAGGCAAGTTGTGACCCGCGACACCAACTTGGTTGAGGGTAGTTCGGGTCGTCGTAACAAGTGACTCCATCTCTTCCTTCCTGAGTTGCTGAGTGAGTGCGTTCATAGCTGTCCAAGCAGCCTTCACCACTTCTGCAGCGCTATCATCGAAGGCAATGAGAAGTGCTCGGATGAGGTCTGGGTAGTAGCGAGAAAAGTCCACTTCTGTCGCCTCGAAGAATTTCGCGAGATGCAGATCGGCAATTTCACGTTTCCGGTGGTCATCGTGCTTCGCAAGCGGAAGCATGACGCCGGTCATCAGCGTGTTGAGACCATCATATTCGTCGACGGACAGGATAATGGTGTCGACAGCAGTGGTAAGCTCGGTGTGAAGGCTCTCATCCTTCGTCTCCAAAGCTCCGTCAATGAGAGCATTAATGATCACATTCAGTCTTCTGGTCATAGATGAGCTTGCGACCTCTGCTAGAGATGCGAGGGCTCGAGCATTAAATGCTGTGATCGGTTTGGCGATCAAAGTTGGCAACAGGTTGGGTAGAATGATGTTTGAACGAGTCGAGTCGGTCAGCAGTGTCAACAGTGCGGACAGAGCATGCTCAGCGTCGTCCTCAGAGCGGAGCAAGCTGAGGAGGTAAGGTAGGACTTGATCGACGGCACGCTTGCCGAAGATCTTTTGCAAAGAGTCGAATGCTTCGGCGGCTTCTTCCCGAACATCCTCGTCTGAGTCGACAAGTGCAGTCCGGACGACCGACATGAGTGTCTTCTCGTAGTCTTCGAGTGCTTCTGGCGCAGCTGAAGTAATGAGTTCGCGGAGAGCGATACAGATACCTTGGCGGGCATCGGTATCGGTCGAGGTCTGAAGACCTTCCTCGAGAGTTGGGAGCAGCGTTGCAAGGACGCCTTCGCCAGCCTTGCGAATAAGCTCTCCAAGAGCATTTCCAGCGATGACCTTCTGCTCCATGTTTGAACTTGCAAGTCGGCGAATGAGAAGTTGAGTGAGTGTCGGAATGAGCTCGCGCAGTGTCCGTGGCGATGACACAAGAGCCTTCCACACGCCCAGAGCCGAAGTTCGCACGAGACCAGATGTGTCGCAGCGACAGATGTACAGAGCTGAAAGAACACGATTTCTCTTCTCCTCGCCAATCACCTCCAGTAAAGACTGGCCAGCTTCATTCGCGCCCTCTTCCATGTCTTCGGCTTCAGCTTTACCACTTATACCCGTGAGGTTGAACAGGAGATCTCCCACAAGCTCAACGGAACTGAGACGAATGCGGTAATTGTCATCAGCAAGACCACGCTCAAGCTCGGGAAGCAGCAAATCGACCGAACGTGCTGCGAAGTTCTTGACCAGAAGACGACCCGCACGAAGCGCTGTCTCACGGATTGACTCCACATCATCGGCAAGTCCAGACAAAATCGGTGGAATGATCTTGGAGAGGTAGTTGGCGAAGCTGTTGCCAAAGCATGCAGGCAAGAAGATGAAGAGAGACATAAAGCCCTCGCGCACTGAAGCCTTGGAGCTCGAAACATTCTGCAGGATGGTAGGAAGAGTCTCCTCCAAGCGACCCGTACCAAGACCTGCCAGGACTTCACTGAGTGCTTGTGCGGAACCAAGACGATCACCAGCACCAGTGTCTGACTTGAGGGTGGACATGAGGCTTGGGATAAGGTCTGGCAGCGCATCCTCGCCAAGCTTCTCAATCGTAGATCCCAGTGCCTTGGATGCGGTGGCACGAGTGGTCGGAACAGGATCCACAATGGCGACACGGAGACCCGCGACCAAGATGGGCAGATGCGCGATGAGATCTTTGCGCTCTGTGAGATGGGCGAGACTGCCGATGATCTGCGCTGCTTTCCTCTTCGTCGCAGATCTATCGCCGAGGCCACGTTCTAAAATGCGAACAACGAGAGCCAGCGAAGGTGCATCCAAGTAATGAATGAAGTTGACCTTGATGAGTGCGTCCAGGGCATCGTCGGTGTATTTGGTCGGATCACTCAGTGCCTTGAGTACAATACCGACCTGACTCTTCACTTCAGGATTGCTGATGACCTCTCCGAATCGCTGTAGACTCTTGTTGGCAGATCCACGAACCTCTTTGTGACTGTCATTTAGGACCTCCGTGAGGGGCGGGATGATCGCTGGGAGACTGATCGCTAGCTGTTGCGGGTCGAGGTACGCCATGGCACCCAGAGAGTCACAGGCACCCTTCTTGCTTCGCCACTGCTGATCATCAAGACCCTCGAGCAAAATTGGCAAGACTTGTTTAACACCGTACGAGCTCAAGGAAGAGAAACATGTCTTTGCGGCGTCCAGACACGCCATTCGAACATCAGCACTGGTATCCGCAAAACCAGCCAGCAGCTGTGGCACGATTTGAATGACGTAAGGCTCGAAGATGCGGACTAGCATTAGTGACAGCAGCTCAAAAGCAAGGAAGGCTCCCTGTCGCTCGTTGGGATCCTTTTTATTGTCGGCGGCACTTCGCAGCGTCGACAATAAGCGGCTGTCTTTAAGCAATGAGATTCCTTTGCCCTTCACGATACCAGCAAGACCGTAAGCTGCTCCACGTCTCGCGGCATATTTCTTCGCATGAAGCATCTCCTCGACCATCTGTTGCAAATACTCATTTGCTTGGTCACTAGAGGCTTTCACCAGTGGAGGCAGACACATGGCGACAGCATATTGAACAGATTCAGAAGGAGTGCTGAGGGTGGACAAAAGCCGATTGACGACCTTCGCCATGCGGGCATCACCTTTCGGAAGATGGCGAGCCAGGGCACCGTACAGGATAACGACAGCTTCGTTGACCAAATCTTCTTGAGCCTGCTGGCTACTGCTAGAGGCTTGGAGCGTGGTCTCATATGACTTCATCAGCGGCTCGACCTGTGTCATACCACGCAGTGCCACGATGGTCGTCGCCGCATCAACCATTGCATCGCGTACAGAAGTGCTCTTATCGCTCAAAGGCCCTTTCTCAACCAGGAAGCCCATGAATTCGATCAGCTGCTCAGATGGGAATATTGGAGCCAACTCCTTGAATGCCAACGCAAACCCGTGTCTTGCTTCCCACGGGTCGGCGAGGTCCTGTTTGATTGGCATACCGTAACGATCAAGTCGTTGCTTTCTAGCTCTGGCAAATTCCACGTAGTTCTCTTCTAGCTTTAGTCGTACTTCGGTGAACGTCTCGGGGTGTTGCTGTACCGCCGCCGCCACAGCACGTGCCGCGGCACGTCGTAGTTGAGAGTCCTTTGACTGTAGGTAAGGAAGGCACTGTATTGCAGCAGATTTGACAATGACCAGCTTATGCTCCGCCCAGATCTCCTGCGCGATGCTTGCGTTTTGTTCGTCGTCGTCGTATGAGGCGAGCCAGATTTCTTCGTAGAACTCCCGATCTGAGAGGAAGAGATGATCACTGATGGCTTGAAGCACAGCGTTGCGAACGGATATGTCAGGGACTATCGAGCCCTTGACAACTGTATCTGTCTCGACTTCATTGATGTTCTCCGAGATGTTCTCGCAGAGGTCTGAAAAACAGTCTCTGCAAGGTCGGAAATGCTGGGTATATCGCTGCATGGAAGCAATCAATGTTGTGAACAGCTTTTGTCGCGGAAGCTTCGTATCTGTGCATGTCCGTGTGTGAAAGGAAAGAAATTCGATGGCGAGGACAATTTGCTCGTCTGCTTCTTCACTAGCCTCTCGGTCAATGCCGCCAGACTCCAAGACGAGGAACACCAGTGCAAGAATGTAGCTCAAAGTGACAGGGTCAAATGGTTTCCTCTCTCCGAGGAAGCGAAGTCGGTACATAACTCTCGTGATCAAATCACCAAGTGGTTCTGCGAGTAGATTCTCCGGGAGGATAGTGATTCCGGCTGCACGTAGCGTTGCAACGCCAACAAAAGGACGCAATGAGCCCAGAATGCCGTCGGTCTTCTCTGAGCATTTCAAATATCCTAATGCAGGTGCATTGCCGAGAATCAGACCAGCACCAGCTTCGACAACGTCAAAGAGAAGTTTGACGGAAGGTCCAAACCAGGGCCCATCACCACCTTCGATGACCGGCCCCTTGGTGAGACACACGATGATCCCAATGCCACGTCGCAGCCTAGCCTCGAGCTCTGCAACCTGCTGCCGAATGGCTGCTTCTTTAGCGAGCTGCGCCTTGACCTTAGATTGCTCCTCTGGAGTAAGCTTCTTGGCTTGTCCTTTCTTCTGAGCAATCTGGGCCCTGAGCTCTTCTTCCCATTTCAACAGATCGTAGTCTTTGTCTGTCTTACTTATCTGCTGCGTTTGTGACTGCTTTGATAGTACGTCAATGAACGCGGTGCCCTCGGGAGTTCGATAGATGGCCGCCTCGGTGGGGCCGATGTCGTCTAATTGTTTCGCGTCGAGATCGGATGTAATCTGAGCAACAACAAGCGGGGTCATGATGCTCGGAGCAACGAAAACCAGCTCGGCGGCGGCAGCGTGTGCGGCGTCGTGAAACGAAGACAACTCCTTCCAAGCTGGATTTTCCGTAACGAAAATGATCCTGGAAAGGTAGTCCTGAGCGCCCGTCTTTACGATGACACTAAGATCATTCCATATTCGTCTGGCCAGTTCTATCCAAGGCGCTTTGGGTATTAGCTGAGATCGGCATAGAATGTGCAGACTTCTGTACTGCTCTTCCAAGGATTGCGGATCAACAGCTGGAGTCGCCTCTGATGGAGGATCTGAGCAAATGGCGCGAATCACCTTGTAGAGTTCCTCGCGGCCCGTTTTTGACGCAAGCGCAGCACTTTCTTTAGCTTCTAACTCAACATCTTCACACCATTGCCATAAGCCAGCTATGACCACGCTTGAGACCTGACTCCGACTGGCATGGTATAAGAGGCTGAGAGCTGTGGTGGCTTCTCGCCGCACTTTTGGAGGGACACTACTTGACACCAGCAGAAAGATCATCGCCTGAGCCCACGCGACAGATGATGCGGCCTTTGAGTCTTTCGGTAGTCCTGGGAATGTGCTGGTCAGTGCACGTAGAAGCCAGGTTAGATCGTCTGCGGATGCCAGCTTCGTGTATATTCTTGGGTTTAACAAAAATGAAGGTTTCGGCTCTATAGTCAATGCTTTTTCAAGAAGTCCCGCTTTCTTTATCGCTGCAGAGTTTTTCAGATCTGGTATTGAGGCAAGTCTTGAGATGCACAGAGCGCTGGTGGCACATGCTATAGGTACCTGGCCAGCTTGCAATGCAGGAATTGGGTTCGCTACAGCATCATTGAAACTTTCGACAAGCTTGCCAATGCATGCATCGGTGATGATGGCTAGGCTTCCATTGCTCAAATCCTTCTCCTTCAATTGCCACAGGCATTCTGCGAATTGCAAAGCCCAAATACGGCGCATTGGTGCTCGTTTGTCAGCCACTCCTTTGGCGAATGTGTCGATCGTGGCAGCCTCCACCTTCACATCGTTTTGCAGCGCATATTGTAGATACGTCCCGAGCGTGCTGAGCAGCGCAGAGGCTGCAGGCTCATTTGTTTCCTTCAAGGATAATGCATTCAAGCCTTGCAGAATCTTGGTGGCTAGAGGAGCTGATGGTTTGAACGCAGATAGCATCTCCGCCTGTAGAAGACGCTGATCGGCCGCAGTGATTTTATTGCCCTTGAGTGGCCCGAGAATTTCGTCCGCGGCCTTTTCGATAAGAGCATCATCGTATGATCGTGTCGCAAGAAGTCTGAATGTTCGCACAGCACCCTCCCGGGTGCTTGCGTTGGAAGATTTCGTATTTGCCAGAAGAGGTTTTAAAAGGTTATTTGCCAATATGCCAGAAAGGTCGACGCTGTCCGGAAGTGCAGCGAACAGCGGGGAAACGAGGTCGTTTAAGACGATTTCGGGCGATCTCAGAAGTGCCTTCTCCACCGAGGGAATAATTTCCTGGCTCAAGTCTGCGACTGAAACGTATGATGCAAAGAAGTCTTTCAAGCCGTCTGCGATGTGTGCTGGCAGCGGAGTGCGAGAACCAAGTATTTCGCGAAGGTAGAATGCAATGTAATCGGACTTCTTCTCTTCTACCACAGCTGCCTTTCCAGAGACTCGGCTGCAAACTCCTGCGATGATGCCGAGGGGAATAGCATTACGGGGGCAGGGCCCAGCAGCCTTTTTGGTCAAAGATTCAATAACATCACCAATCGCATCGGCACCAAATGGTGCTTTGACCAGGGTTCTAAATGCACGTCGACTCACGCGTAGAGCGGTGGAGCGTGTGCTGTCTTTCGGCTCGGATGAGTAGAGAATCACTGAAGCATTGCTCAGTGTTGATATTGACCTAGCTCCCCATGATTCCCAAAACTCTTTCTTCTCGGCTGAGACTTGTATCAATAACGAGCTCCATCTTATAAGCACAAAGGCATTTCCCGGTGCAATCCCGACTTTGGTAGATTCCTTTTCCAATACTTCGGCAAATTTGGTGGTATGAGCAGATGCGGTAGGTAAGCTGGCAATTGTGGTCAAGCAGCTCTCCACGGCATGTCGTGATCGGTCGTCAACGTAAAGCGGGTAAATATCGAATAATATGTTCAGAAAAGGAAGTATTTGTGCGAGTGGAATGTCTGCGCAGGATGATCAGAATTCTTGATCGGGTGATCTGCGTCATAGTTATTATTTTCACCTTGTCTTGTAAGCCTTTCGTGAATATCATTCAGCTCTGCTACGCGCTGCTTGGCCGAGTTTGCCAACAGGACCTGTCGGGCCTGAAGTAGATCGAGCCCGGTCTCGCCGTTCGTTTGCGCCTCCTCGTCGGCCATGTCGACTGAGGTTCTGCCCAGCGATGACTCTTCAACGGTATGTACACACTGAACAATGCGGGTGTGCTCGCAGATCAGGTCCGCGCAGTGAGAAAAGGTGGGAAATTGAACGACCTCGTGCAAACAGCTGGGTGCGCTGTGGTCAGGATCGTATGCGCGAGAAGATCACGAAATGATCGTGACGATGTGCCAGAAATGCTCCGCGGTGCGATATTTTTGAAACTCTGAATTTCAATGCTCCGCTTCGCAACTCACCCCACCACGGTGCAGCGCTTTGCGTCACAGACACACGCGACACTTTGGTGGTGTAAACGCAAATACAGTTCAACACGACTGAATGGTTCACTATTTTGCATCATCTTCCTGACTCATCTCGTAAAGCTCCCCTTCAAGAATTTGGACGTACCTGAAAATGCTCAAATTTATGAGCAGCGAATACATTCAGAAGTTCTCAGATTCCTCATCGAATTGAAGCGTCATGGCAGGCGGGAACAAGAAAAAGAAGAAGCCCGCGGCGAATCCCGCCAGAGGCTTTGCCACGACATCAATTGCGTCGAAGCCAAAGGTAGAGGCGGCAACCGAGGAGCAGCCTGGACAAGTTGAAGCGAACGGACAACAAGAAGTCAAATCATCCACAGCTCCATCAATCGGTAATACAACAACGGTTCAAGATGCGAACACACTACAGACGCGAGAGCTTTCTGAATTGTCTCCCGAGGAACTTGAAGCGCAACTAGAGGCATCTGCATTGCAACAATTTGTCGAGAACAACGCCGCTAAAGTCAAGAAAGAGACCACACGACAGGTCACTCGCTACCAAACAGACAGGCGGCTATTACGGTCACAGGCGGAGTTTCTTTCGCTGAAAGACTGGCTACCTGATGAGTTAATGCAACAGATTGGAGATCTAATCTCATCGGATTTGAAACAGGAGTCAATAGCCCCAAGAAAAATCGAGCCGTCACGTAAAGATGACGTGGCTGCCAAGTTGTGGATTGTTCGACAATGTCTAATCGATTTGGAAGTCCCCTTGGACAGGGTCAATGAAGTTCTCGCTTGGTTGATCAGTAATCCCCCTGCCAGCACGCTGACAGCGCAGGCATGGGGCATAGAGGAGTGCTTGGAGTGGTTAGCCCTGAATTGCAGTGGTGAAGAGCTCGATGAGTATGATTCGACCAGAGTAAGGACGGTTGCAAAGGACGTCGACGATGAAACTTTTGACGAGGAGGACGAATCTCGTTCCTCCGCCACTAAATTTAGTATTGAAGCGAGCGCTTCGAAGAGGGACTCTCCTCAACAAACATCCTCGACCCATGATTCCGGCGCGGACGAAGATCTAGCTGTCAGCGACTTGGACAGCGATCTAGAGCCCGATCAGCTAAGCGAGGCTTGGCTAAGGACCAAAAGGCAGCTTTTCATGATCAATCCTACAGAGAATGACGGGAGCGGGAAGAAAAGTAAAAGTACCAAATCTGCAAAGTCTGACTCTGCTGTCAACAAAAGTCGGTCAGAACGAAAGCTGGATGCAAAACTCAGCAAGATCGAGTCCGATGTTCTCTTCGATCTACGCGAAGCAGAGTATCAATGGGCTGAGATCAAAATCGATCTAGTACGCCAGGCCGCTGAGCGCAAGAGATTGCAACTTCAGCCTGACACGGGTGCCAAACCAAGCCGGGCTACAGCCGCGTCTTCATCAGATGTGAATGACGAGGCTGAGAAGATTGCCAAAGAGATGCTTGCGGAAAATGACTTGAGCGACGGCGAAGACTTTCTTGGTGGCATATTCGATGCTCTGCCCGGAGTTCAACAAGCCACCAACGGGTCAGGAGCTGCGAGTGACGCGACAACGCTAATTCGCGATTTTGGAAAGCTGACTGGTATGAGCCCAAAGCGTGTACTCGAGGAGGCATGCAAAGCGCGAGATGGTCGAAGCCGGGTATCCTTGAAGCAAATCTCGCCCACGACGTACTCATGCCGTCATTCTGTTACCATACACTGGAGCAGGGAACAAATAATCATGGATCACAAATTCCTGCCCAGCATCAGTGTCAAACGAAAGCCGACGACGCTTCTCGTTTCTATGATCGAGGTAGCTACGCCCGACTTGGCACAGAGCGAGGCTTACGTCTGCACAGTAGCTCTGTTCTTAATATTTTCAGGATCGCCAAAGGAAGAGAAGGCTCATCTCCGACTTCCAGCAGCGTTCCGCGATCTTTGGGACGAGTTCGAACGCTTGAGGCTAGAGCACGTCCAGAAGGAGGATAGCATCACTGCCAAGGCTGTCCTTGATATCGTTGACCGGAACATGCAGAGTCCGGATGACGATGATGACAACGAGGTCGTTTTCAATGCCAATCTGCGTCGAAGATTTGATGGCTCAACCGGGACATCTACCCCGACATCGCGCATTGAAACCAACAAGACAACTTCTGAATCACAATCGCTCGAATTGCAACAGATGTGGGCGAATAAATCAAGCTCTGAAGCATACCAATATATGTTGGTTGGTAGACAGAATCTGCCAATGTACAGATTCAAAGCTGAAGCCCTTGATATAATCCGCCGCAATCAGGTCACCATTTTATGTGGTGAGACAGGTTGTGGGAAGAGTACACAGCTACCAGCCTTCATCTTGGAGCACGAGCTCTCGCAAGGCAGATCATGTAAGATTTATTGTACTGAGCCACGTCGAATATCTGCCATCTCCTTAGCTCAACGTGTTAGCGAGGAAATGGGCGAACGGAAAGGCGATGTTGGCACAAACCGCTCTTTAGTTGGATATGCCATCAGACTGGAGTCGCACACGTCAGTATCTACTCGACTCGTCTATGCGACCACTGGAATCGTTCTCCGCATGCTTGAAAATGCTGACGGGTTGGCGGAGATAACTCATCTTGTCATCGACGAGGTACATGAACGGAGCATTGATACGGATTTCTTGCTCATCGTCCTTCGATCATTGATGCTCAAGAGGCCCGGCTTGAAGGTAGTATTGATGAGTGCCACCGTTGATGCGCAAAAGTTTTCAAACTACCTCGATGGTGCGCCAGTCATCAATGTCCCCGGTCGAACTTTCCCGGTACAGGCTTATTTCCTGGAGGATGCTATTGAGATCACCGGACACACCAACGAGGACGCTGCTGCTGCAACCGTTGATGAGGATAGTATTGACGAAGATCAGCCAAAAGAGGGAAAGCCTCAAGCTTTGGAGGGATATAGTGCACGCACACGGAAAACACTCGACACATACGATGAATATCGAATCGACATGAGCTTGATAGTGAAGCTCTTGGAGAGAATTGGATACGATGGTAATTATGAGCCATTCAGTAAGGCTGTCCTCGTCTTTCTGCCTGGTATCGCCGAGATTCGACAACTCAACGATATGCTTGGGGGTCACCCTCGCTTCCTCAAAGGCTGGCACGTCTATCCTCTCCATTCTTCGTTCTCAAGCGACGATCAGCAAGCGGCTTTTGATGTTCCTCCACCGGGTTTTCGCAAAATCGTCTTGGCCACAAATATCGCCGAGACGGGTATCACGATTCCAGACGTGACGTGCGTCATCGACACAGGAAAGCACAAAGAGATGCGTTTCGACGAGCGAAGACAGATGTCTCGATTGATCCAGAGCTTCGTGGCCAAAGCAAATGCGAAGCAACGTCGTGGTCGCGCCGGTCGTGTACAGGAAGGCATTTGCTTTCACCTCTTCACTAAGCACCGACACGATCATCTCATGGTAGACCAGCAAACTCCGGAAATGCTACGACTTTCTCTGCAGGACTTGGTCATGAGAGTCAAGATTTGTAAATTGGGAGATATCGAACGTGCACTCGCACAAGCCCTTGATCCTCCGTCGAGCAAGAACATACGCCGAGCTATCGATGCGCTCGTTGAGGTTGGCGCTTTAACTACTGGCGAGGACCTCACGCCGCTCGGTAGTCAACTGGCCAAACTTCCGCTCGACACGCAGCTGGGGAAACTGATCTTGCTCGGAAGCATTTTCAAATGTCTTGACTTTACTCTTACTGTAGCTGCCATGCTATCTTCCAAGTCACCCTTCTTGAGCCCAATGCACCAGAAGAAGCAAGCCGACACAGTCCGCCTTGCCTACCGTCGCGGAGATTCGGATCTGCTGACGGCCTACAATGCCTACAGCACATGGCGAAAAGTGTGCCAGACACCCGGAATCACAGAATATTCCTTCTGTAACAAGAACTTCCTCAGTCCGCAAAATCTCGCCAATATCGAAGATCTCAAAGCCCAACTTCTCTCATCGCTCGTCGACGCCGGCTTCGTGCAGCTCGGCAACGAAGAACGGTCCGCGCTGCAGAAAATGCGTCACAACTCCCGCCACCGCAACTTCGTTCTGATCCCTGCCGCATACACGCGCTTCGATGACAATGATCTCCTCACCACCTCCGTCGTCGCCTGGTCCTTCTACCCCAAAATCATCACCCGTGACGGAAAAGGCTGGCGCAACATCGCCAACAACCAATCCCTCGCTCTGCATCCGACCTCCGTCAACAAAACATCGCTCGCACCCGATGTGAAATACCTCTCTTTCTACAGCATCATGCAATCCTCCTCGCGCTTCACCAACGCCCAGGAGACCACCGCCGTCTCGGATGTCGCGCTCGCAATCATGACCGGCGAAGCTGTCTTCCACATGTACGCAGGTGTCGTCGTCATTGATGGGAACCGTCTCCGCTTCAAAGTCCGCGATTGGAGAACTATGGTTGTCCTCAAGACCCTCAGGGCCAAGGTCAAGGAGGTTTTGGCGAAACTGTTGAGGAGTCAGGGAAGGGAATTGGGCGATCGGCCCAGGAGGTGGATGAATATCCTCGAGGGCATCTTTGAGAGGTTGAAGCCTGTGAGTGCGACGCCGGCGGTCACGCTAAGGTGAGATTCGTACGTAGACCGAAGTGGTTGGCATGTTTCATAATCGCCTCTCGCGATGTTAGGCTGTGACAGCGAAGATAGTACAACCAATTCAAAAACACAAGTATTTGTTATCGTGGACCTCATAGAAGACTATCTCAAACTTTTTCCGCAATCATGAAGCATACATATCATAGCATGTACTCAAAAAACTTCGCAACATCCCGCAAACCATCCCCCTCATCCATGTCAACGACATCGGGGCTCAAAAAATGATCCCCGATGGCGACCACGCATTCATGGCATACTGTGGCGGCATATACATATCAAACTGCGACGTCGACAATCCATCCGCAGAACTGTCGTCGAAGCGATCCAAGTTATCCATCAAATTCCCCGTGAGAGGGCCGCGGTTTTCAATCGCATAATCCCCAACGGCACTGAGATCCAGCCAGCTGAACGTGTTGATTGACGGAGGTGCGGCCTCGTTGGGGTTGGGAAAGTCCGAATTCGCGCGAGCGAGATTGTTACCGGAAGGGTTGGATGGGATCTCGGAAGAGCCTCCCGTGGCGGTGCTAGCGTTGTTGTTGATGAGGTCGCCGAGGCCGGTATTGCTGTTTCGCACCGCCTGCAGGATGTCTGAAGGGTCGATGATACTACCTCGGCCGGGCCGTCGGCTCCACAGGAGACGCAGGAGTTTCGCATACCGCTCGCCAACGTCGTTGGGACAGGCGCTGCTGCGTTGCAGGTTCTCCATGGTTTTGGGGATCAGCTCGCGGACGGCACTGCGGTCGCTGGCGCCCATGATACCTGTGGAGCGCGCTTTGTACATAAAGACGGCGGAGTAGATGACGTAGAGATAGTAGCGCAGAGGCATGTAGCGGAAGGTTTCTTCGGGGTTGACGAGGCTGCAGAAGGTGCTGAGGAGGGTGCGGGCGGCGTCGACGGAGTCGTAGATGAAACGGGCGTCAGGGGCGTATGCGACTTCAAGGAAAGAAGCTGGGCCGTTTTTGCTGCCGGGTGGGGGGACGTTTGCTGCGCCTTGTTGTTGCTGTTGTTGCATTTGGGCAAGGAGGCGATTCAGTGTTGCCTTTGGATTAATTAGCGGCATTTCTGGACTCAAGACGATCAGCAGCCGCTTACCTGGTACGCGAACGCATTGACGTAGAGTCTCAAATATTCGTATGAGAGTACGAGACTTGCTTTCAGAGGTTCGGAGCAAGGCATGACACCCCAACGCTCATTCCAATGTCGAAGAGACACGCGGAAGTCATCGATGTATTTGACGTATTCTCCTCCCGTGTTGAGCTGGTTCGACCGGGTCTTGGTCGCGTAGAGGACGTCATGCGCATTGCTGAATAGCTGAGTCAACGCAAGGTTGGCTTCAAATATTGCAGCAAAGTCATCCGATGTCGAACGCAAGCTGGGGAAGTCGCGAGCATCTAGTGAAGTCATAGGTCCAGGACCTCGGGACCAGAAGGCTTTACCAATCCGCACTGATATTTGCCGATCGCTCATGTAACAATTTGCCCATGCAAGTCGTTTCCGGTTGAGGTCAGCCGTTTGGGATTCGCGGTCCACACGAAAGCCCGTGCGATCAATGCCGAGAAGGTAGCCCAGGCGAATAGCTGTACCCACATACATCCATGCGGCTTGATCCTCTTCGCCGCGACCGATCGCTGGTTGTGAGTTCGAGCCGGGGATACGAGGAACCCATTCTGCAAGTATGAGCATCGCCTGTGACAGAATTTCAGTCGAGATCATTTGAGGACCAAGCTCAAGACACATACCTCAACAGCCTCGACAGAGCCACATCCAGTATATACCAAGCTTGCCACAAGTGACTGCATGTGCGCGGAGCAGTCATCGTGGACTTGCCACCACTCCTTCTCATCTTTTGAAGCAACAGTGAGGATGGCAGCAAGCAAATGCTTCTCTTCCACTGCAGTCGTAGGAAGATTCCGGGGGTCCATGGCTGCGGGGTTTGCCAAAGGATAGAAAGGATGATACTTCTCTTGGTACCTGGACTCAAGTCAGCAGGTTCAATCCCTCCACCGACCTTTTCGCAGAGTAGAGCTGACCTTAATAGGAGTACGTGAACCATTTGTAGTGACAGCTGTCCCTTGATGAGTGGCGGATAGTCGATGGAACTTCCTGTAGCCGGTAGAGGCCCAGGGCGGTCACCGCCCATCAAGTTCTGCTGCCTCGAAGCGGGTCCAAACTTGGTACTATTCATAGGCGCCAGCTGATGGCCGCCTGAGTTCCGCTCTGCGACATGTGCTAGGAATTCGAGGGCATCGGCTGGGTTTTGTAGATCCGTTTGGGCGACACTATCGTCGACTCGCATGTTCGCAGTTTCAACGATCTGTCCATCATTGGAAATCGGAGGCAGATTTCTTGACTCCTGGTTGAGGGTATTCCAGCTTGGCAATGTCTGCATAGGTGTTTGCAAGCCTGGCGAACCTGTCTGTGATCCGGCAAATGATCCTTCCTGTCGGAGCGTGTTGCTGATTGCCGGTGAGTTGAGAAATGCTGGACCCGCCGTCGTAGAATCAGTGGCTGTGCGCTTAACTCGACGGCCGCCTCTGCGTGATCCACCAAGGATGCATTCGTGTTGCTCTCGGATGCATCGCTCACATGGAGGTCTGCCGGGCTCTCCGCTGCTGTATCTGAGATGGAGGAGATCATGTCAGCAATATGCTCCAGGACAGAGTCACTTCATTGGATACTTCACAGAGACGCGTAGAAGGCCTGATATGAGCTATCGGCGACTGCCTCCGACGACTTTGTATTCAAAGGGATGCTGGTGTTGGCCGTTGTGGCGACAAGCGCCGGCTCTTGACGGCAATCGGGACGTATTGAGCGACCAGCGGCTCGGCGTGGTCGTCTGTTCTAAGTCTCGTGAAGAATGTGTCCTACTGGGATTACTTACAGATCGCATCTTGATTTGCGCTGTCGACAGTGCAGACAGGCACGGTATGTTCGTTTGTCGCGTTCTAACTTGGCGACTCTGTGGGTCGCTGCCGACCCGGGCGGATGGTGGTTGTCGGGAGAGCCGTGCTCGTGGTCCGAGACGTCATGATCCGAATCACTGTTATCGTCCGTCTTGACATCCATGGGATCCATATTTGGTGCGTGAGGACAAACAAAGTAGCCGACAGACGGTAACCTGCGGGTTTTGAGACTGATCAACTAGCAGAGCCGCATGGTGTAATGTTACAAGGAAGGAGCAGAATCAAACATAGGCGCGTCTCGTGCATTCCCGTGTCGAGTCTTTAGCGTGGCAATTATCTGCTAGTGCAGATCCCCCGCAAACAGTTTTTCACGTGTGCGAAGGGAAAGGACTGTTCGGCTCGTCGGCATTTGATTGTCCCTGGCGGCCGATGGAATGACGACACCTCAGTCTGCCGTCATTTCGTATCATGAGATGAAATCTACATGTCAGTACCATGAAAGACGAAACCATTCGTACAGCAACGCCGAGTCTATCATACTGCAATTCCCATGCCAGCCAACAAAGCTCCCTGCACCTTGTCGCTGATCTTCGCGAGCCAGAACTTCGTCTCCCCGAGGATAAAGATCTCGCCGGGGCGGCCAAAGCAGAAATTCGCAATACCTCCTGGAATGATGAGCTTGCCAATGAGGATACCACCTGGCGACCAGACATTGATGCCGTCGCCACATCCACTGTAGACATTCCCAGCTAGGTCGCACTTGATACCATCAGGGTGACCTGCAGGTTATAATCAGCGCCAAAGCTCTATCGTCGACGTGTTTCCGACATATTTACCTGTGTCTGGGAAGGCAAAGAGTCTTCGGTTTACCAAGAAGGATGATCCAGAAATCGTTTTGACATCGAATGCATAGCTAGATTCACGCGTTAGTGGCCTTGTGCCTGATCCTTTTGCTCTGCGGGTCTTACATTGTCGATGCCCGTGTCGGGTCCATAGTATTATTCCCATGAATGGCATTCGTATCTGTGATGTATAGCGTCTGCTCGTCCGGCGAGAAGGCCAAGCCATTGGGTCTCCCAAAGCCATCGGCGACCACTCGCACATCGCCAGTCGCGGGGTCGAAACGATACACTTGATTTGGCAATTGTGGTGCCCCTCGGAACCCCTGCTCGGAGCCGTAAATCGGGTCGGTAAACCAGATGCTCCCGTCGCTGCGAACGACTACATCATTCGGACTATTGAATGGGACTCCACGATATGAGGAGATCAGAGTCTGCGTGTCGTATGGAGGCACCGGTCTGACCAGTTTAATCCCGCTGGGCCGTGTTCTGTTACCTTGGTCGCAGAAGAGGAGGCCATCGTCGTGATAATTGGTTCCTCCATTGCCCATGGTCACGTTTGGGTGGATTTCTTCATATCGAAATTTGCCATACTCCCTTCTGACTGCTCCAACTATGATAGCTTGGCTATCCTCGCTTACCAATTTGTTGCTCGTGACGTAGATGGTGTCTTCTGATGGCACATAGATTCCGGCTTCGTGAGCGAATTGGAAATCTTTTTCAACTTCGACCGTCAAGCAGGGCGTAGCTCCCAATATCTCGCTGAAGTTGTTGTTGTATATGGCAAAATATGGTTCGTTTGCCTCGGTCTCCTCGTTGGGAGATATCTGCTGCAGCCATTATCAGATCTATTTTCTGCAGATGATCCAGCGTGCAGGGGTGACTTACTTTTGTCGTGGTGAACGTTGCAGCCATCGCAGTAGCTAATGCTGACTGAATGAGCATACCACCGAGGGCGAGTCTGGATCTATATCCAACCATTGTTGCACTTACGTATAACCAAAGTCAAAGCCGCTCTAAAGTACGCAATACTCTTTATACACTGGTTTCCAGTAGTTCACTATAGCGGTGAAACCATTAACGTCACAGTGGGTCACGATCACTCACCAGACCTAAGTTAACCCCAACCCCAACCCTAGATGTTCACCTCGGCATTGCCGTCAGTCGCCGCCGCGGCGAGACGATGTCAGCGCGGACGGCGACAGCAGACCTCACCTCCTTCTTTCTACTACTCTCCTTCTGCTCAATGTTGACATCTCATCAATGTACGTCTCTCTGTATTTCCTGTCGCAAGGCGCGACGATGCATCCAAAGACATCGTGTTTCGGCGTCAAGGACACGCCTGTTGCCGCCGCCGAATACGAACGGCCTCTGAGACAAAGACCCTTGATAATGACAAAGCCGCGTAGCACAGCGCGAGATCTTACCACACGCGCACGTGCGGAACCCCGTTGACTGTAGTGCAACAAAGCATCACCAGCCACATTGAAGATCTGCTATTCCGAGAATAGATATCGTATCGATGAACTGCGTGGCAGCACGTCGCAACGATCATCGATCATGATTATAACCATCTCCTCCTCTCATTGATCACTCTCATATACATTCTCTCTCACGTTCGCATGACCCGCGATGGTTCGACTCGAGGGCAACGCGCTCCTGTCCACGGTGGCGTTGCTGTCATGCCTTGGATTCCTGCTGATCGGATATGACAATGGCTTGATGGTGAGAAAGAGAACATTGAGATGGGAGGATTTCACGAATCTTATGCTGTCCAGGGCGGTCTCGTCAATGGCCCTGCTTTTGGCGCCACCTTTGACATTGATGCGAATACATCAGCTGGCGCCAATCGCATTGCGATCATCGTCGCAATTGTAAGGATTTCAGATCAATTCGCGCATCGCGCTGCTCGAGTTACGCGCTGAACGTGAATTTGCCAGTACGAAATCGGATGCTTCCTAGGAGCGCTTGCGACCAGTTTCATCGGCGAATTCCTCGGTCGTAAAAAATCAATCTTTATTGGAGTGGTCATCATGATTCTGGGTGCGATTCTGCAGGCTAGCTCGTATGGACTGGCACAAATCATAGTCGCAAGAATCGTGCTTGGCGTAGGGATGGGATTTGTGAGTCGTCTGACCTCCTTGAATGTTTGTGTGCGCCTGCTTAGGTGAATGCTAACGATTAATTCAAGATCAATTCGACGGTGCCAGTGTTGATGGCAGAATTTGCCCCTAAAGCCACCAGAGGCGTTTATGTCTGCGCACAACTGTCGACGCTCAACTTTGGTATCATGCTGGTGTACTGGATCGATTATGGTTTCAGCATCATCCCCGGATCCGCGAGCTACGCCTGGCGTGTTCCAACCATCCTTCAATGTATATTTCTGTAAGATCGCCTTTCGACCTCGACTGCTTCTCTCGTGCTGAGATCTTCCAGAATTCCGATGCTCGCGATCATCTTGATCATCCCCGAGACGCCCCGCTGGCTGATCGCCCACAACCGTTCCGATGAAGCACTCGACGTGCTGCAAAGGCTCAACCGCAAGATCCTCGGCGAGCAAGCCGTCCGCAACATCCACGCCGATATTGTCAAGACCGTCGCGTATGAGACTTCACTCGGCACCGGAAAATGGGCTGATCTTCTTAAGAGTGATGAGATTCATTCTCGACGCCGATTCTTGATCGCCTGCAGTATTCAAATCTTCCAACAGCTCGGCGGGATCAATGCCCTTATCTATTATTCAAACACCATCTTTCAACAGAGTCTGAACTTCAGCAGTGATTTGAGTGCTCTCATGTCCGGATTTCTGAACACATGGTTCTTTGTGGCGAGCTTCATCCCTTGTGAGCGATTTCCGATGACAAAATCCTCGCTTCACGATCTCTTGCTAATCTTAGACAGGGGTCCTGATTGACCGCGTCGGAAGACGCCCACTACTGCTATCTATGGTCAGCCTAATGGCAATGGTCATGGTCGTCCAGACCGGACTGATCTACAACGTTCAGAATCAAACATCCATCGCAAAAGGCTGTGGCGCTGGCGCCGCCGCCATGCTGTTTATCTTCCAAGGCGCATTCACCATCGGTGAGTTGACAAAACTCATTACACAATCATATAGTTGATCGATTCTGACATCCCTCGCAGGTTTCCAAGCAACGGTATGGGTCTACCCATCTGAAATCCTTCCTCTCAAACTCCGTCAGCGGGGCTCCTCCGTCTCTACCGCGAGCAATTGGCTCATGGTCAGTCCTTCTACCGCCGCCACTTCCATTGGATCCAAGGAGAAAGAGCTGACCTGTTTCTCCCGCAGAACTTCATCATCGTCTACATCACCCCTCCCGCAATTCAAAATATCGGATACCGCACCTACATCATCTTCGCAGTAAGTCAACCTTTCGCTCATCCCTTGATTGCTTTGAACATCGCCTTCATTCTTCACCGGTTACTGACAATCGCTTCACAGGTCCTCAACGCAACATGGGTACCCATCATGTACTTCTTCTATCCTGAGACCAAAGGTCTTGCGCTCGAGGACGTCGATCGGCTCTTCATGAAAACCGAAGGTGCGCACCGACATATGAGTGCGGTCGCCCACAACGAGACTGACACTGAGGCACGAGGTGTGGAATATGTACCTCATGGAGAGCCGCATGTGAAGTCCTAGGTCTTACTCTATGGCAGGAGAAGAAAAAGGGAGAATGTTTTGCTACAGGAAGAGTTTTATGTTACAACACAAACAAAAAGTTTTTACATACAGATAGTTGTACAGATCGGAGGGTAATTTTCGACCGGCGGACGGATCTCCCGCTCGATTGAGATTATTGAGGCAGCGCGTACCCCCCCGATTTATAAATGTTTATACAACGAAGAATTTTCAACTCAAATCAGGTCTCACCGGCCAGTGGTAGCGCGGTCTATTCTTCTCAGCCTCCTGATCTCCGCACGGGCTGCGTTCATTTGCTCTTCTGATGCCTTTTCCTCAACGGGAGGATCTGCCCTCGCTTCTGCAAGTACGGTGAGATTGAAGCCTTCGAATCGGGTGAAGTCGTCCTGGTTGCGGTCCGTGAGCATTTTCTGCACGGCCTCCTCATCCGGCTGCATCTTCTGCTCGGAGCTGGCACCGGACTGCACCGATGAGTGACCGGCCATGCGCTCGTGTCGGTCTGTGAGCTGGAGGACGTAGGTCATGTCTCGCCAAGCCCAGTAGCGGAGTTCGTTGATCGACTTGCCTTCTGCGGATGCTGCTGCTACCGATTTGGAAGATGTTCCTGATTTATTCAACTCCGCTTCATCTGCTGTTATTTTAGATTCCGGGGGCTGGGTGGTGGGCTGGGTGGCCGGATCTTGGGTCGCGACCGGGTCATCTGCTTCTGGTGAGCTGTGACCTTCCGTGCTGAACTCCTCGTAGAGACTGCGCATGTCAGCATCGCTGAGTCGAAGTGCGCCTTCCGGCTGGAAGACGGTCCTGGGAAAACGTAGTCCCTCATGTTTCGGGTCTTTAATCCTCGCTACAAGCTCACGGTGGTAGACTTCGACGTCACCGAAAAGATTATCGATTTCATTCATGACCTCGTGATATGTGGTGGGGTCATGACGAGGCTCGCGTTCGACGCGATCATGTTCTTGGTCGAATTCGAAAAGCGCGGAAATGCTGTCGCGGACTTCTGGAGTGAAGCTGCTTTCGTATTTCGCAAACTGTTCCTTAGCAAAGTCTTGGCATCCAGCGCGATTTGCCGCGATGATGAGAACACGCATATCCACGAAGCCCAGCTGTGACGTACTGTTGCTCAGCGTAGTCATAAGATCAGCCCATCCTTTCTCGATCCGCTTACGGTTGTGCTGCTTGCCGCCGAGAGTGATGATGCACAATTGTACGCCACGGTCGGACCCATGTTGTTTTGCGGAAATGCCGGTGGCGTAGTTGAAGACCTCGTCAGTGTCATCAAACTGCGCAAGCTTGGAAAGAAGAATTCTCAGCAGAGCTTGTCCTGTCACGTCAGTCTTCAATTCGATGATGGCAACAAGTCTCTTCACTAGCGAGAGTATAGCCAGGGCGCAGTCTTGGCGTTCAGGCCTTGTGGCGAGAGCCATGGAGGGCAGGTGTAGTACTTCCGTCAAACAGCTAATCCAAGTCGTGAATACATTCACCTGATCCCTTGTCGTTTGCATGTCCTGCTGGTGTATAGCCGCCAACCTAGATCGAAGCCCGGACAGTAACGCCTTGGCTGGGAACACTCTAGCCTGGTCGGCAGCCTTGTCAAACATTTGATTGAAGACGAAACCACTGGTCCGGCCGTGAATCTGGGTTGTGAGGGTAAAGAGTGTATACGATTCAGAGAAGGGTCGCAGCGTGGCCGCACGGATAAAAGCATCACTCAGACTAGCCTTCGGGTCCAGCCGGAGCATTGTATCCAAGGTGATGTAAGCATCACTGGCTCGACCGGCCAGTAGATAAGCATGAACAAGTCTCTGAAGGAGAGGCGTGGGTTTGACTCTCATTATCTCCTCTCGGTTTGGAAGCACGGCCCCGGGCGAGACATGATATGACATGAAGTCACCTGGAAGGCGGAGCAACGCTTTCTCATAAAGGTCCTCCACCGTGGACAAAGGGTCGCCGCGCGCTATGTGTATTTCCGCTGCGTAAGCGAAAGAGAACCAGCTCACACGTTGATTGGGCTGTTTTTCACGCCATTGCCAGAAGCTGTATGCTGAATCCAGGTCGCCCGTGGAGATTAGTGCACTCGTGACAATATCACACATGGTGGTATAATTTTCCCATTCGCCAGCCTGAACCTGCTTAGCTATCTCCTGCGAGAAGGCCCGCATTTGCGCCACGGCCTCGGGCGACATAGAATACTGCGCCGCGACGAGTCGCTTGAGATAACTCGCCACCTGTATGCCAAGGGCTTTGTCTGGGTGATAATTTTGGGGTAGCGCGCGATATGCAGCAATCATCTCATCCATATCGTCGGTGCGGAAGGATTGCGTAGCAGCGTACATTCGCTCTACTCTGTGATCGTGGGTAGCCCGTCTTTGGCGCTTATTTTCTGCATGCCGAAGAGCTTGTCTGACTCTCTGCAGGTGCTGTCCGGATAAACCTTTCGTACTGCTCGGCGCATCACCTGATCTATCGGAATGGCTATTTGGCTGATCGTCGACATATACGCGTGTGATCAAGGATGCCCTCCCAGAGGGAATTCGGGATGCCGGCCATCGGCTCGCTCGACCAGGGATCCGCGATCTGCTCAAGACGGATGCCGTGTGCGCAGAGCACAAGCTCGACCTGATCATGATATGCTTGATTGACTTTTCATTGGTCTTGTGCTTGAAAGTCGTGTCTTCTTCCTAGAGTGTGATGACTACCGATGACTTGTATATTGATTAATGATTTCAACAGCGGGCGACGATGATATAGAATTCAACCAGATCCGGCATGATTTCCTATGTAAGCTACCGCATCATCAAGCACGCGGCTGGACGGGACCGGCCGACCCCGCCAAGTGTTCGTTCAAACCAGGGCCTCTCTTTGTCTCCGACGACCGCATTGAAAGCTGTAACATTTGGGGGGATTCTCAATTCGGAATCGACGACAGGTGCACGAATAGATATCCAAACTTCTGTGAGGAAAAAACCCGAAGACCACAAAGAGCAGACACAGCAGAGATATACCCGCAATCATGGCTCCCAACATGTCCCTCTTCTCCGTCAACGCCGTCCTCATCCTGGCCGCCGACGACGCCTCGCGCATCCTCGCCAAATACTACTCCCCGCCGCACATCCCGACCAACGCGCAAGGCAACGACTACCCCGGCGCGCAGCCCTATCAGACCGTCAAGGAACAGAAGGCATTCGAGAAAGGTCTGGTGGAGAAGACGGCGAAGCAGAACAGCGATGTCATCCTCTACGATAACCGGGTGATTGTGTTCAAGACGGAGGCAGACATCATGCTCTATGTGGTTGGCAGCGCAGACGAGAACGAGATTATGTTGTACAACGTTATCTTGGCGCTGAGGGATAGTTTGAACATTCTCCTCAAGTAAGTCGACCAATGTCCATAAGATCACTCGTTATGAGCCACACACATGCTGATTGAAACTCTGCTCGCTGAAACAGGAACTCCGTCGACAAGCGAACATTGATTGAGAACTACGACCTGGCATCCCTATGTATCGACGAGATCGTCGACGACGGCATCATTCTCGAGACCGACCCCGTCATCGTCGCCAGCCGAGTCAGCAGACCTCCAGTACAGGACATTCCCAACATGCAAGGCCTTGATCTGAGTGAGGAAGGTCTGCTCAAGATCTACCAGTTTGGAAAACAGAAACTCGGCGAACGGCTACGACAAGGACTATAGAGTGCGAGGTCGGATCTCTGAGAGCCACGGATTGTGCGTATAGCAACGGAGTCCGGAGTTGACACGATATTGCGCCGGGCTGGTAGATGATTGGATGGAAGGAAATCGGGTGGTCTACTGCACGAGCGCGCTGAAGGACGAACTGGTCAGGAACCAAAGCTCTGTCAACTCAGCTCAAAATAGACATGCTGCGTGCCTGGCAGCAAATACGCCTTCGCTGCACAAAATCTAATGAATGATGACTTTTCTCATTCTTCCATGTCCTCACTATCCGCAATCTCACTAGCAGCCTCCTCTTCCTCCTCCACGAAAGCCTCCTCGTCCACAACCGGTTCGAGACCAATGTGATTTCTCTCAGCCCAGTCCAAAACCTTCCTCTTGTTCACCACCACATTCCCCGCCGCCGTCTTCCTCGTCTCAAGGACATTCATCTCCTTGAGCGCCGCCACAACGTCCTCGGCCAGGATCCAGGTGCTTTCACTGATCTCTTTAACGCTCGCTGTCTTCCTGTTCGGCTGATTGACAATGAACCGAACGATCTCTCCGTACCAGTAAGTCAAGTAACCTTTCCGACCCAATGTCGAGAGCGGCTTCTCAGGTCCGCCGAGCCGTCCTTCAGCCCGGCCGAGGTGGTATGATGCGCCGATGAGGATCTGTCCCAATCCTCGACGTTGGAAGGGAGGGAAGATGAGGAGACAGGCGAGATTGTTGTTGTCCCAGCTCATTTTCTCTTTGCTGAAGAAACCAGTGACCTGTTGCGGTCGGTGCTCGGCGTCGGTGTTTACACCATCTGATTCCGAAGCGGGAAGTTTCAGCGCGAGAATGTAGTAGAGGAAGGTACTCGCGTCGAAGAAGACGGATTTGGTCTCAAGGAAGAGTTTTGCGAAGAGCGACAAGTTTTGAGCGTAGAGCTGCGTCACAGAATATTCAGTGTCAAATATCACATTGAGATCGGGGTGAGTTCTTCTCTTATCAGCCTGCTTACCTTGTGCTCCTCCCCGTCAATTTCGTAAATGCTATAGTCATCCTTCTCATACACCAGCACGCCGGGTGGAGGATTCGCCTTCAACGGACAGACTTTCTTGCACCAAAATCAGCTCTCACTCCATCTCGTTTCTCAACGAACTTCCTGGAAGAATACCCACGCAATGCGCACTAAACTTCATAATCTCATGCGTATACTTAAAGCACCACTGGCACACATAAAGCCAGTCTGCCTTCCGCCCGCCGATGAGATCTTCAGGATAGAAGGACGGATACCAGGGCTTGATGTGGAGATTACCGAGAACGACATTGGCGATGTTCGGGGTGGTCGAGGGCTTGCCTGCACCGGAAGAGCTCTTGTGGGTGGGTGAGGTCAGGCCGATCGGGAGGGTCGGCTTCAGGTCGGAGACGGTCATGTTGGGGAGCAGCGTGGGAGCTGCGGTGGCCAAGGATGGCCGGTGGTGCGCATGTTCGAATGAGCTGTAGTCAGGAAGATGGGATTGCGCGCGGTCGCGTTCGTGGTGGGGATTTGGATGCGATTGGGACGCTCGCGCGGGCGTGCACACGATCGCCGGCTTTTTGGTGACGCAGTTGCGGTTTGCTGACTAACGATGCATTGGCCATATATATTTGAAGACTCACTTGGACATAAATCATCCATGTTTGTAGAATCTGTGCGTAGATGCTGTGGAGTCACTCATTGAAGAACGTTACGACTTGGAAGCAGAACTTATGAGGCCATCGATGGCTTCACTTCAAGATCATGACATTTGCAGAATACCAGAGCACTTCCCATATCCACAAATCATCATGTTTCCAACCCCCCGTTGATCGAATTCAATATCCACCCTGCTCTCTCCTCCCATCCCCTTGCACAGATCCATTTGCCCGCGCACCTGACGCTGCATCCTTCATGGCCTGCTCATCACCTCTCAGCTTCGCAAAATACGCCTTGATATCCTCAGCGCTGACTGCTTGTCCGGTCTCAGCAAAAGGTTGCAGAAACGTCTTCACCTTATCGCGGACATAATTGTATGCCATGACACCCTCGATGGCCTTGACACGGTCCATGGTGGAGAGTGCTGCCTCGCCACGATCGAGGATCGAGCCAGTGCCGACACTACGGCCTGCGGCGCTGCCGAGCTCACCTGGCGGAGCGTCGGATTCGGAGATCGGTGGTTCGTAGGTCTCTTCTTCTTCTAGAAGTTGGGGATGTTTCGAGAGTCGCGCGAAGCATTCTGCACATCTGCAGAGACTTTCCCGGAAATTTTCCGTTGCGAACAGGTTGATGGGACCTTTCGGTGCAGCAGGCAAGGTTGTGTGTTTCACTGTTGTGGTAACCGTCGGCAGATCTGAGCTCTCTTCGGTTTTGGATCTCTTAGACTCTTGCTCTTCCTCTGTCTCCTCAGCTTTTCGTTTCCTGCTCTTGGGCACACCTTGCATTGATGCGACAGTACTGTAGTCGCTCGTCTTGTCAATGTCTTCCGTTAGGAGCGTTGCGTCTTGTGTGGTAGAAGCCTTCGCTACAACGGCAGGCAGGAACCCGGGAGTGCCGGCATATTGCTTGATCCATGGAAATGCAGAAGTGCACTTGTGACAGATGAGATGATCAAAGTCGTCTTCATCCGGGAACCCCGGAGGCAATTCGTTTTCCACAGGCTTCTCTTCCGCTTCCGTAGCGTCGCCGCTTTCCTCCTGGACAGTCCCGAGAGCGCTTTCTGCTTTGTCTGTTGTGTTGGCTGCAGCCTGCGTGCGTGGCAGCCCCATCAGACATTCCGGATGCCACCAATCTTCGCCGCAACCGCCATTGTCAATCGTGCCTAATCCAACACATTGAAACATGGTACCCTTCTCTGTCTCCGGATCATACTCCTCTCCGCAGCCGCAGAATCGACCTTGGAAATTCTGGTTATACCGATTGGCAGTCCGCGCCTCTTCGCCCGTTACGCCTCCCTTCCTCCCAGTCAATGGGTTCGGACGAAGCGCGCAAGGTGTACCGCTGTTCTCGTATCGAGTCGTGCCGCAATCGCAGACGAAATCGCGTTTGGTGAACAGCTCGACCAGGGTGTGTTCGCCGTGACAGCTGATACTGCAGCTATAGCATACTCCAGCTGGGGTGAATTGCTGGAGTGGTGATGCCGGTGGCGGGGTACATGTCAAGCAGGCATATACCGATTGGCGCAGAGGACCGAGTGGTTTGGTGCATGTGTCAAATTGATATGGCAAGGCTTCGCGCGCATCTGCCTCGAGCGTGAGCTGAGAAGCGATATAGTCTTGCGCGGTTTGCGATTGTTCAGTTTGTGATGTCTCTGTCGGCTGAGATTCTGCTTCGGCCTTTTGCGGCAGCTCGACGGCTGGTGGATCTTGCGCCATGACTTGTATCTCGTGGCAGATGAGAAGGTGATTGTTTCAGCAATGATAAACGTGATGCAGTATGAAGGGAATGATAACGAACATGGCACTAGTGGACTCGTGAGTGACGCGACAAGAATCTGGGGAAATCGCGCGCTATTGGTGACGATCTGATAAGATGATCTTCGGCGTAGTAATCATTTTTCTCGCTTCTTTCCAAAATGTCAATGGACACGCGTAAAATGCTCCTTTATTTCCACAATACTGCGGAAATTTAGTTATCCATTCTACTAGGACGTGGTATTCATCTCAAGAAAGGACAAGAAGTAGGCGCGAAATGGAGCAAAACCTGACTTCTTAAATAAAATCTACAACTTGAATCCTCCAGGCACCAATTTCTGCCAAATCCCTTCAGGATCATACTTCTTCGACGCGCGTCTCAGGAAAGCATGGTTGGCCGCCCCATAACCTTCAAAAACCTTCGCCCCCGGGTGTGCATAATTCGCATATTTGAAGTCATGCGACAACCGACGCTGGCGCGCCAGGGCATCTGTACGCGCGATGACCCGCTGCATGCTCCCAATGATAATCGAGTCTTTGGCGGCCGAGGTCCAGGGCGAGGTCACGCTAACGAGAACCAACGGCGCGTCGGCGGCAGATAGACCGAGGACGTTGCGTGCGCGGGTGGGCCCGGAAGAGCCGGGCGTAAGGATCTCGCTGGTGAGGTGCTGGATGGAGTAGGAGGTTGAGGCATTAGGGAAGCCGCGGGAGACCAGGGCAGCATTGGCGCGAGCGGACTCCTCGCGGTAGATGGCGACGCTGTCGTGTATGAGAGCGGCGTCGACGTGGTAGGTGTTGGTCCAAAATTGATTCCGCGCGCCGTAGGGGGCGGTGTTTTCGAGTTCCCATGTGAGGTCTGTGTGGTTGGTATTACGTAGGGTGGAGACCAACGTGGTTGCGTTTAGGTGCGCGGTGTAGAACGGGTCGAAGATAGTTGGGCGTTCTGTGTAGGGTTTTGTATAGTATAGGCCGGCGCTCCAGATATACTCACCGGTGGGTTGACCTGTGATGGCGAGGAAATCATGCGCGCGAGCATCCCCAGGTGCATGTTGGGCGAAGGAGACAAAGGCGTCAACAACCTCCGACTCCACCTGCGGCGCGTCTGGCCACACCACGAGGCCGCCGTTGACGCCTTGGTAGGGATACGCTCGGAGGTCGAAGCGCGTGACGACACCGAAGTTGTTGGTGCCGCCCTGGAGCGCACGAAAGAGGTCGGCATATTGTGGCGAGTCGGCATTGGCATTGGCTATTGAGCCGTCGGCGAGAACGACTTCATAATTGAGGACATTGTCACAAGCGAAACCGTACAGGCCCGAGAAATAGCTGATGCCACCACCAAGCAAGAGACCACCAACGCCGACCGAAGCCACGCGACCGCCGACGACGGTGACATTGTATGGGTCTAGGCGGCTGTAGACATCACTCCACCGACTGCCAGCGCCCACGCGCGCGCTTTGCTTGTCAGCGGAGAGCGTGACCTCGCGCAAGCGACCGAGATCAACGACCAGACCGCCCGCGAGGTTGTTTGCCCCGGGAATGCCTGAGTGGCCGCCACTCCGGATGGCAAATTGGCAACGATTCTTCTTGACTACCTTGACGATGGTGGAGATCTCAGCCGCTGTGGAGGGCGCGAAGAAGCAGGTAGGTTGAATATCCTGGATCTGTCCGGCCCAGTAGGGATTAACGGTAGCGTTAGTATAGTAAGTGTTGGACGGAAGAAGGGTCCGAAGTTGTGTGCACTGAAATGGTCAGTTTCGGATCGGATGTGACATAAAAGCGCAAATGAATATCGATCGACTTACTGCCTGCTCGCATGCTGAGCTAGTCTGACCGCCATATTGATATGATGATTCGGCAAAGCCATGAATCGCCAACAGGGGCAGCAGAGCCAACCTGAGACGAAGCATCTTCCGAAAGGGGCTTGAATGGCGAGCAATGCAGTCTCGAGACAAATTTGATCATCCTCAAAGGGAAAGAGAAGGTCGACTTTATAGGCCCGAGTTCAGTACTCCATGGTAGCAAATCTCTTCAAGATACACCACTGTGCAGCATGCAAGCCAACTTGCATCCGCCGGCATCGCGACTGTCCGATCGTGCACAGTGGCGTGTCTACTCACGCATAGTGGTATGAGCCGCCGAGAGACGAATCACAGGAAGAATCATGGGATTGGTAACGTGCATGTGGCTTGGAAATCCATCGGCTACACCGACGGGTTTTCGTGACCTCGGGACGCAGCGATTCGACAGCTCTAAGCTCAGCATGCCTCCTGAGATGAGAAATAGGCAACGACAGGAATTCGGAGTCTTGGCAAGGTCAGACTGAACATGCGCTTCCAGTCAATCGCCTTGTTTTTCCATCAAAAAAAAAGCGTAAGGCGTCCATCCAAGAAGTGCGGTGGGGCAGTGTGTTGCAGTGAACGTGAATTTGACCGGAAGCAGGGACGCACGCTATCGAACAGGGCCGACCTCCGAGAAGCAGGGAGCTGGGGACAATCGCCACCACCATCTGCCACGCGCGATCAGTTCCTTTGCTCTGGCTCCACGTGTGCATCTTGGCTCCCGCGACTGAGATTCTCCTTTTCTTCCGGTCCTGGTGACCACTTGGGGGCACACCCAATGTTGCTGAACAGGTTCAAGTCCTTACATTGACTTCATCCCGCAAACGGAAGTTCCGTAGAGAGTCGCAGCATTAGGACACCTGACATCGTCGTCCATCAGTCAGTCTCAAAAGAGTTGAAACTATCTGCAGCATTCGGCACACAGCTCACAACTGCACATAGAGAAATGGGCGTTTGTTACTGTGCAGCAATCATGTCGAGTACTGAAACTCCCGGTCAACATCGTGAGTGAGTGGTGGACAGGCAACCCTAAGCGTACATTATATCAAGAATAGCAATGCCAAGACCACTCTATTGGAAGCGCGTGTTGAGCGCGCTGCACGCGTTGAAGCGCGCCGGCCCACAGTATGCCGCGTGCATCAAGACCCCACTTCTCGCGGCATTCACAATTGGTGAAATCGTCAAAGCGATCCGGGATCATCTGCCATTACGAATTTCGACTTGTTAGATATGAGGTAGATACGATACAGTCATACGATCAAGAAAGCATCGTTGAATCTTCTCGTGCAGTTCTCCTTTACGACCAAGCATGTCTGCAGCAAACCGTGGTCGCCTGGCGGCTGGCAATCGCAAACGTGGTCGAGACGCCGAAGACGACATGCCCTCATCCTCAGCAGCACCGCCGTCAAGCCGTATGCGAAGATAGCTAATTCTGCAATTAACCATACACTGACCACATGTCCAGCTCCCGCATCGTCTCCTCCCGTGTTTCCCCAAAATGACGATATCGACGAGGACGACGAACTGGAGCCCGAGGAGGATTTGATCCGCGACCTGGAAGATGCTGACGAAATGGCCGAAGACGACGCTGGCATCGATCTTTTCGGCGACAATTTTGACCGGGATTACGACAAGAGCGATGCTGGACGCTACGAGGGCCGTGACATTGATGACGAGGGGGAGTACGATGATCTCGATCTCGCAGCGCGAAGACAACTCGATGCGCGACTCAATCGAAGAGACAGAGAACTCGCGCGTGAGCGTGCAATGCCTGCTGCCTTCTTGCCGGACGAGGACGAGGATGTTGTTGATCTGACTCGCCAACCTCGGCGACGGAGACACAGGTATGACGAAGAGCAGGATGGGATGGACATGCACGAGGATATCATGAATGAGGAGCTGTCGTCGCAAGCCTTATCTGAAGTGAAGGCAGCAAGTTTGACAGATTGGGTGGCACAGCCAGCAGTCTACAAAGGTATTGCGCGAGAGTTCAAGTCGTTCCTCACCGAGTACACCGACGCCAATGGCACTTCGGTTTACGGTGTGCGAATCCGTACCCTCGGTGAAGTCAACGCTGAATCGCTGGAGGTGTGTTGGGAGCATCTCTCTTCGTTCAAACCTACACTAGCATACTTCCTGGTCAATGCGCCGACTTCGATCTTTCCAATTTTCGATTCGGTGGCGATGGAGGTCGCACTCTACCACTACCCTGATTACGAGCGTATCCACTCAGAGCTCCACGTTCGCATCACCGACCTTCCAATCGCATACACTCTACGACAATTGCGACAAAGTCACTTGAACAGTTTATTACGAGTCAGCGGTACTGTTACTCGACGAACTGGCGTTTTCCCGCAGCTCAAATATGTCAAGTTCGATTGTACCAAATGTGGTGTCACATTGGGACCTTTCCCGCAAGACAGCAACTCCGAGGTCAAGCTTTCATATTGTCAAAATTGTCAATCAAGAGGGCCATTCACATTGAACAGCGAAAAGACGCTTTACCGAAATTACCAGAAGATCACACTGCAAGAATCCCCTGGCACGGTGCCAGCAGGACGTCTGCCTCGCCATCGGGAGGTCATCCTCTTGTGGGATTTGATTGACTCTGCAAAGCCAGGCGAAGAGGTAGATATAGTTGGTGTCTATCGCAACAACTATGATGCACAGCTCAACAACAAAAACGGATTCCCCGTCTTCGCGACTATTCTCGAAGCGAACCACGTTGTCAAATCACACGATCAGCTTGCCGGCTTCAGACTTACAGAAGAGGACGAGCGTCAAATTCGTGCACTAAGTCGTGAGCCGAACATCGTTGAGAAGATTGTGGGCTCCATCGCGCCCTCAATTTACGGTCACGAGGACATCAAGACCGCCATCGCATTATCATTATTTGGCGGTGTGTCGAAGATGGCTCAAGGCAAACATTCCATTCGTGGTGACATCAACGTGCTCCTGCTGGGTGATCCTGGTACCGCAAAATCACAAGTCCTCAAATATGTCGAGAGTACGGCACACCGAGCAGTATTTGCTACCGGTCAAGGTGCATCCGCTGTCGGTCTCACCGCGAGTGTGCGACGAGATCCTCTCACGGCGGAATGGACGTTGGAAGGTGGAGCTTTGGTGCTCGCCGACAAGGGAACATGCCTGATCGACGAATTCGACAAAATGAACGATCAAGATCGAACCAGTATTCACGAAGCCATGGAGCAACAGACGATCTCCATTTCCAAGGCTGGCATCGTCACCACACTCCAAGCTCGATGTGCAGTCATCGCAGCCGCAAATCCCATCGGCGGTCGATATAACGCGACTGTTCCCTTCAGCCAAAACGTTGAACTCACGGAACCCATTCTCTCACGTTTCGACATTCTTTGCGTTGTACGCGATACCGTTGATCCTGCCGAAGATGAGCGTCTAGCGCAATTCGTCGTGAACAGTCACAGCCGCGCACATCCCGACAACGAGGATCCTGACGCGCAAGCTGCGAATCGTGATACAGATGGCATGGATGTGGATGAGGAATCGTCGGCAGCGATTGCCGCCAATGCCGGCCCGAAGAGTCCCATCTCCCAGGAGTTGCTGCGCAAATACATCCTTTACGCAAGGGAGAACTGTCGTCCAAAGCTGTATCAGATTGATCAGGATAAGATTGCGAAGCTGTTTGCGGACATGAGGCGAGAAAGTTTGGCGACTGGTGCATACCCGATCACTGTAAGTCTCAATCGGTGCGCGTCAAAATCAAGCTTGACAGACTGCTAACACCATCTAGGTCCGTCACCTCGAATCCATCCTACGATCAAGCGAGTCCTTTGCCAAAATGCGTTTGGCCGAATATTGCAGCAACGCAGATATTGATCGGGCGATTGCCGTCGCTGTTGACAGCTTCGTGGGTAGCCAAAAGATCAGCTGCAAGAAAGCGCTCCAGAGGGCTTTCGCCAAATATACTCTATCACGGCCTGGCGCTGTGCGGAACAGAAACCGCGGAGGACGGAGCGGGCAGGTCAGCGTCGGTGCTTGAAGAGCATAGAGCACGGTTGCTTTTCAGAAGTTTATGATTGATGAGCTGTCTACGGAAGCTTTGATTCGAGCGTTGATGCAGTCTCCTCTCCCGAACCCAGTGTGGCCTGTAAATTATTGTCCCCGCCTATATCTGATCGTGGCTTCATGCTCACCGGAGCGTGATGGTTTATTCCTGCTGCTGCTCGAGACCCAACTTTGAGATCATGATCCCATACGGATCGCGGTCGACCTCACTCACGAGGATCTCTACGAAGTCGTCTTCATACGCTTTCGCAGCCTCGCCATCGACTTGGCCCTCAGCCTTCTCGGCTCTTCGCAGCTCATTCCACTAGACAGTCCCGTCAGTAAAAGATTTTCTGCAGCTAGGGCCAAAAGGGGGGAAAATTCACCTCTTCCACCACTGCCTGCTCCAACTGTGGTTTCATCACACTGTGCAAAAACCCTCTCTCGGTGTTACTATGGAACAAACAAATCACACATTTACCCTTCTCGATCGCCGCTAGCGCCTCGTGATGCGATAACTCCCCCGTGAAATACAAATCCACATCCGTCTCCCCGTTCTTCTCCAATTCGCCAAACAACGAACCCCCGGATCCTGCACAGAGCGCGACGCTTCCAATGCTGATCTCACTTGCTTGTTTGCCTTGTGGGATCGCGATGGGGAACGCAGTAGGGCTTCCTAGCCCCAGCCCGATCCGGTCGATGATGGAGGTCAAGGCGATGGGTTCGGCGAATCTTATCACACGGCCCATTCCTGCGTCTGGATGGCCGGCAACTTTGGTTTCGGTGATGGGGTAGCGCTCGTGGGCGTTATTGCCGAGGTTGAGCGCGCGGCCGATGATGGACAGTTGCGAGGGGTGGTGCTGGAGCATGTATGTGGGTCGTTTGGGAACACCATCTTCGGCTTCGCTGGCGGAGCCGCTGGTCGAGCCTTCCTGTTGTGATGAGAGCAGCGCTTGGATGTCTTGCTCTGTTGCCGGTGTACCGGTTACGATGTCTGCGAGCCAGTCGCCCAGGCCGCCGGCGGCGCAGTCCACGGCCGTATGAGGGCTGTAGACCTGATACGATGTTAACGAGATGAAGATCATAAGCGGTGATGCCGTTACTGCTTACACTGATGCCCTCGGATGCTAGCCGCAGTAAACTTTGCTGCTGAGTGTCCTCCAATGTGAGACTTTTCAAGCCGCGAAAGATGATGGGATCTGTATCACGATGCTGCATTAGTCAGCCATCCATTGGTGGACTTTGATGGACGGCTTTTCCCTTGGGACGTACGATATGAGATGACTATTGAAGCTTTGCGCTCGATGGCTTCGTTTGCGACTGCTTTGGTCAGATCCACGGTCAACAGAACGGAATTCTTTTGTCGTCGTGTGGCATTGAAGGGCGCTTCGAGCAGCACTGCAAGGTCTTTGATAAGCTCATGACTTCGAGGATATGTTCACGGACTCTCCGAATACTGACGTCCGGTGTTATCAAAGCTCTTGTCTGCCAATGCTTCGGGATACCTGTATGCCATTTGTAAGATTTCATTGCATTCATTTGTAAATATTTTGAAGCCTCACAGTCTCCGCATCGCATTGACGATAGCCCGAGAGAAAGGTGCCGATGTGGTTTGCGGCGCCATTGTGCTTATACTTCTCTTGAAGACAGTGGACAGCATGAGATTGATTGTCTCTTAACCGAACCCCCAATGTCCGTACGATGTATGTGTTGATCTATTACCCACAAATGTGTATGTGGAGACCTCACAGCACCCAAACGGGACAAGCGCAGTCGTGGTTGTTGTTCGAGCCCTGAAATTTTGACCAATTCGAAGCGTTTTGCGTCATTCGCATCTGATATGATTGATAATAGATCGAGACGTCAACATCTGCTCGAGATCTATGGCATTTCTTCTTGACATACTCTTTCGAACACCCATATTCCTCCCTCCAAAATGAGCGCAAGAACAGACGAAGAGGCTGCGGAAAATCAAGCGAGTTCCGGCGTCACCTCTGAGTCCCTCACCAATACGCTGCGGGAGAAGCTGGGCGCTGAGCATGTAGATATTCAAGATTTATCAGGTAGGCATATCGCACGCGATAAAGTGCAACGAGGCCGTCCTTTATTGATTTTGTGTTCACACAGGCGGATGCGGTCAAATGTTCGAAGCAATTATCGTATCGGCACAATTTGCAAAGAAGACGACCTTGGCCCGACATCGGCTCGTCAACGGCACGCTCAAGGAAGAAATCGCGGCCATTCATGCCTGGACGCCGAAATGTTTCACGCCGGAAGAATGGGCCAAGAAACAATCTGGTCCGTGAGAACTTGGCTACCACTTGAAGTATGAAGTGTCGTTGGCGAGGAATGGGCCTATGAGCTGCGTGATTTGTCCGGCGACATCGGAATGAACACCCATCATGAACCTATTATAATGTGTCGTGGTCTGGCATGCCATCCCATGCCAGCATAACAAGGACGCATAGAGTTGGAAAGTATCCGCTCCTCATGAGAAACTATCTGGCTTACTTCCATGAATGATTCATCACGATTTGTCAAATTTTCCGCATTTCTTTTTCTCATCCTGTTCCCACTGCACAAGCGAGCATTTCTCTTGCAGTCTCTATCAAATTTTGCAAGTCAGCCAGGCTATCAATTCCTCTCTGAATCGCATCAATCATCAACCCATGTGCGGGCTCATTTGCCAGCAAAATCTTCGCTGTCGCCTCGAGGAAGTCATACGTGTACTTTCGAATCAGGAATTTGGTATACCGAAAATCGTCCTCTCTCAATTGAAGCCCAGTCTCAACCCTGAATGTCCGCACTGCCGCTTCCAATTTCCTTTGGGCAGCTTCGAGCTCGTTTGCACTGAGCGTGAAATATTGCCATTGGCATCGCTGTTGCTAGGTCAGGAGTGCGATGGCGAATTGGTGCTCTCGAAAGTATGGCATTGAGGGTATGGGCTCTGCGGAGATGATACCATCGCTCTGCTGGTGTTGAGTTGGAGGATAAGAGGCTGATGCTCGTAGTGCGTAAGGCAGATGCATTGGTGGATGTGGGTCGCGGCGGCCATGAAATTGTTCAGGGATCAGTGTCGCGGGAGTCAGTACGAGTCGAGTAGCGAATGCAGTTTCGAGCTCTTGTGATAGTAAGTCGATGCTGGACTGATACGGTAGGTGTCTGTTGAGTGACATGCTGGCGATAAGAATAAGTTGCGCTGCAAGGTCAAGTGAGCGTATCAACAGAGTCTGGTATTTGCTTTGCGCATGTCGTCAGACACCCGCGAGGCACCGTTATTCAACCTTTGTGAGATACTCTGGTCTCTGCTGACAATTAGCATTATGAGTATCAGTCGCGACTTCCATGGCATTGAGCATGGGAAGCCGCATCGTTCGGCAATCGTGTCCGGCTATAGATTTTGACATACGAAAAAGCACTCATCAGAGCTGCAAGAGGCTTGTAGTGCGTTTCTACATTTTCGATCGATCAATGATTGGGGACAATAAAAAGCCACTGCTGGGTTCTTCTATCGCCCTTTTTTAGCTCACGCGATCTGTTAAAATGGCAAACTGATAGAGAGATCCGGTACACGTGTGGCTTCGGCGGATGCGGCGGCTCTCAGTAGTAATTAAGAAGATCTATGGGCATACCGACGATCATACATAGCCGAGAAACACTCAAATCACTTGATCTCTCAGACTGGGCGGATTCCTCATAAACATCGCCGTGCTGTTCTTGCAGCATACTACAGATTATGCTGGAAAAGGAGGTCGTATGTGCAACAAATCGTCGACGAACCACATTTGAATCATGATAGAAGTTAATGACTCACTGGATTACGACCCCATTCCATTCCATCTGGATACCAATGAAAAAATTTGCAAACAAAGACGAAGTCTCATCCTGCACGACTGACGCGGCCCGCTGTAACCAGTGAAACGAAACCTCCGCCTTTGACAAATCTTTCGCATCCAAGTTGCCACAGCAGGGACTCTCAAGCTTGCTGAGTCGTTGATTTTTGGTCATATTTGAATTACCGGCTGGGAGCTTACGCCCGACCCCTGGAAGGTTTGTTGCACGAATTTCATTGGCAACGAATCAAGTTTCTGGCCACGCGTGGTCATGCTTCGTGATCATGAGCATCTCAGCGACTGATACTATTAGAACCACAGAACGACTCAGTGGGAAGATCAGTCGCTTGTTGTTGGTGACTTGTTGCATTCTGGCCACAGGCGCTTGACACTCTTTTGTTGTCGACCCAGCCTCTTTCGCCAGCTGGCAATTTTGTTGAGGTTTCCGAGCCGTGTTACCATAACACGTCGTCGTTCATACATCAGCATCATCTGACGATGTAAAGATTGCTATAAGTATCGGAAGAGAGAGAAAATGCAGCTCTGTGCTCAGTCATTTCTTTGACGATTCTCCCGAATGTGGCTGGAATGGCCTGCGTCCGTGAACAAATGACTGTACTCAACGACCATGACACGCTACCAAGACTTCTACGATCTCGTCTCATCGCAATTATGTTTTCTAGGTGTGTGGTGGTGACATGCTCCCACAACATCGCGAAAATTGGCATTTTCAGGGGCTGGTCAAAACAATCGTTCTCCCGAAAACAGTGACTAGGACTCGCCCCCGAGCGATTAATCTTGCAGGGCTGATCACTATGGTAACATCGACTCACAGGTTCCGTGCTGGCAGTCGCGCCATAAGTGTGTTTAACCCTTTGTGCCCGATACACCTTCATGTGAGGAGTGGCAACGGCAACTTGCATGGCACAGCACAATGAGATACTACCAATGGACTGAAGCGCTGGATATACGATGGGGAATTGTTTTCATTAATTGCCAGAGGTTAATAATAGCTTACATCGTTTCATTGTATATCATCCAAACATTCGAATACAGTACACAGTCTAAATTTGCTGTGAGTTTGCCCTATGTGGCTCTATGTAAACAGGAGTGGTGCAGCGAAGTTCAAGGTGCCACGTCGACTTCATCATCCAAATCACGTTTTGTTTCAACGAACTACAGGGAGGCCTTGACCCGTTTCGTAGAGCCGGCTTGAGCGTCAGTAGTGCTTCCCTCATCATCGTCTGGCGCGCGACGCTTCCAGCTAGAGCTTTCTAACAACTCAACGTGGATCAAGTTCTGGACAGCGCTGCCTGTAGACGCATTATCTGTCTGATCTTCATGATTGTGGTCACCTCCACACACGATCTCGCTTTGATGTTCAACAAAGCTTGCCAACTCGTCGCCTGACACCCTCGATGAAGTGTCAGTCGACGCTTTGACAGATTGCCCAGGAGCGTGCGCCGCAGTAGTCCCGACAAAGCTATCGTCAGAACCAGCAGTAGAAGATGGCTCGACCGAGACTTCATATCCAGCATCCGTCTCGATAGCCGGTGAAGTCTCATCGTCCATCTCGTTGACCTGCGGAGTCTCATCGTCCCACCCGAAAGCCGTCGAAGTCTCAGGCAACATCTCGATTGGGTGTGGCGTGACATTGTCCTTTTCATCTGGCAATACACGCACAGCCTCGCTCTCGACGAACCGCGGAGTCTCAACATAGTAAGACCCGCGATAATCGGATGGCTGGAAAAAGTCAGGATGCAAAGGCGCTCTGCTTCCACTGGGAGCTGGCGAGTACTCGTCGGGCTCCTCCTCTCCTTGGGTATCATCTATTTCCTCAACGCATGAAACAAACACCTGTGGAGTGTCACATTCAGTCGCACGAGGGGTGTTATTGCCACTTTCCTGATGAGTAGTAGCTTCAGAGGGGATGTTGTAGCACGGTCCCGCTTCAGCCGCAGGAGGCGCCGAGTCATCCTCTTGAGCGTGCTCGGCGATTGTGGCAAGGTTCTCTTCAACGGGCAGCACCGGTAAGTCCGTGATTGGTCCTCTCCCAGCCTCGTAGATGAATTCCCCTTCATTGCTCTTGCGGAAGAGGCCGATGTCGCAAGCATATTCGAGACATTGGGCGGCGGTGACTCTGTTTTTTGGATTTGCGTCCAGCATCGCTTTGATAATTTTCTTTTCGCCTTGGCTGAACTGTACGTTGCCGTCCAGTCGTGTCAGTTCTTCATTGACGAACCTGACATAATGATTCAGACTGAATCCCGCGGGTGTGCCATTATATTCGTGAGTCGCACACTCTCCGTGTAGCTCCTTCGCGAAATCGGGCCTGATGGCTTCCAGGAAAACCATGCCCAATGACCAGACATCGACCTTCGACGAATATCCCACCGGCTTCCTGCTTGTCTTATCTCTGTCATAGATCTCTGGAGCGAAATAGCCTTGAGTGCCGCACACTGTTCTCATCACTCCATTTGGGTTGGTACTTGCAAGATCAAAGTCGAGAATCACCACCGAAAAAGGATTGTCGCTCGATTCAATGGCAATGTTGAGAGATTTTAAGTCGCGGTGTACAACACCGCGCGCATGAAGCTTTGCAACGCCGCTTAAGAGCTGACGCATGAGATCACGGACCTTTGTAACCTCTAAAGGTCGCCGGTCACGTTCGCAGAGGAAGTGGTGGAGATCCCCACCCGAGTAGTACGGCATGAGTAAAGTTGGGGATGGCTGTTCCCAGAAGTCGAGCACGCGTGCTATGTTCGGCTACATGGCATTAGAAAGATGATATTCATCTGTATGGCTGACATGGTTGGCCACTTACGTGATTTAATTTCTGCATAGTTGCGACTTGCTCACGGGTCTTGGCTAGCCAGGCTTCTTCAGTCTGACCCGCCAATCTGTGATTCGCTCTTTGTGTGTGAAACGTCTTCTTTTGCACACAAACGTACCCTTCGCGAGTGTTGAAAGCCACAGTGACATGGCAGTGATCAACTTTGTACAGTGTTTGCATATCAATCATGAATGGAGAAACCTGACGGCCTGAGGGCGCGGCTTCAGTAGGCTGCATAGTGGTAATCCTACTTGCCAGACCCAGCCCATGCATTGGAGGTAGAGCATCTTGTGCCGCTTCACAGTACCGCCTCAACTTCGCTTCGTATTCTGGGTGTGGAGAGTTGTGGTTTGGAAAGTATATGTAGAATTTTGTGTGATCTACTTCGATTCGAATCTTTTTCCAGTCCACATCTACGGATCGAAACCGGCTGTGGAGGAAGAATCGATCTGAACGACGCAGACCGCTACAGTGACGTCCATAGGCGACGATGGTGCCGTGAGAAGATTGATCGAATAGCCAAACGCGATGTTGATCATCGATCTGAATCCTGCAATGCTCCGCGCTTATGTGACCAGTCCCGATCCCGACATAGATATCGCATACGTTTTTGTCGTGTCCAATCACCCATCCTTTGGCAGGATCTTTCGGCAGTCGATCCAGAGTCAAGACAAGATGGGCACCTCTTTGAAGATCTCCAAATTTGCCCGGGTGTTTATAGTCATTCAAGTGACTCTTGACATCAGTGTCAAGAAACGTATCAATTGCTGATCTTGGTTCAAAGTGGTGGGGATTCCAAGACCCAGTGAATGCGGGATCAAACAAAACCTCCGCGTTCACGAGGACCGCAAAAATGCTGTGATCTGCCATGGCTGCGGTGGTGCGTGAACTTTCCTGAATTGCTTGCAATCCCGCGCCCATCTTAAGTCTTTGATGCTCGCCATAGTCGATAACAGGAGCACTGTATGAAGCCTGTGTCGTTTGCTATCCCGGCGTCTAAGCAGTGCCGAATTGTGATGTGCGCTGGTTTGTGTTACACGAACCGTCCCAGCTCAGCTTGCACTGGCGCGTAGAGTGGTGAAGTATCACAGGACAAAAATAAAGAAGTACTTGAATACAAGCATTCTCACGAAATGCCGCAATCGAGCCTCCCGGATTAAGGCGCACTCTTGTGGAATGATCTGTGTAGAGTGATCCCTGTCCAGCCAGCGAATTATTCGGTCACGTCGCACACACACCTTCGATCAGGAGGCATGCGCATTCCAATCTCCAATGCGTGACATTGCTCAGGCGGCATTTTAGTCAGGCGTACATCAACTTTTATTATGGCTGAGCGCAAGACATCATCTCTGCCCATGACATTTCTCTCGTGGAAATTTTGAAAGATAAATTGACGTGACTCGTGGCGAGCGCATATCATTTGTTTTCTCAGTCGCTACATCGCACGCATTCCTGGATCTGCCTTGCCATTCTTGCGTCTTCCATATCGAAAGCAGGCATCATGAGTTTATGCGGAGATGGCGAAGAAGATCGCCTCGTCGGCGGGTCTAGGCCACACCCTTCGAGAGAGGATGAAGCGCAAGTTGACTACGTGATGGCCAATATGACTCGAGAGGGCGTGTAAGATGATCCAAGCAGGCGCGGCTGAGAGCCCAGACGAGATGCCTGATGTGCTGACTCCATACGGAAGGACGTTTAAATATACAGGACCTGGAGAGATGAACTTGACTCACAATCAGCTTCTGATCTTGAGTGCACGGCTTGAGTGAGATTCATCGTCCCTTGGCGTTTGATGCACGTCAAAGGCATCCTTCATGTGCTGATCTACCATGTGCAGTAAACTCAACAGAGAGGAGCATGCAGCGAGTCTGACCCGCCCGGTAGATGCCGAAGAACTCGCTCGGAAACTTAGGTGAGTACTGTTCGATACATGCAGTCATGGAGCGACGACTCATCATCATCGTCTGAAGAGAGCGTACCCCGTCCGTAGCTTCGTGGACAAGTGAAGACGAGCGACGTCTCACTGAAATCGCCCGAGTACATCTCGAGAGCGAGAACTTTCCTTTACCCTCTTCCGACGAGCTCGAGCATCCTTCAGAGCGAATGATCTTGATGGAGAAGTATTTCAAACGTCATGGCCTGCAAAATCGCGGGGGCACTTTCTTGCGGTATCTGAGCTTTCAGTGGGAGCAGTTCCGAGCTTGGCAGCCCGGTAATCGATACATCGTTGATCAATCCCGTCTATCCCCAAGCCTCAGGCAGCCTTCGTGGACTCTGGACGCGCATATTGCAGAGTATCATCGTCTCAGGGAAAGCCATGGTTATAGCAAGATTGACTTTCCCTTGTCGAAAGACATCGCCGCGCAGAGCCGACTGACGACGTGGTGCGAATTTCAGTGCAAACATCTGTACACTCACTTCGGCCTTCAAGATGAACTGGAAGACGAAGAGAAGGCCGTTGCCATCGCGAGAGCTGGTACGAACCCAAAATCTTGGCCGCCAGAAGCGTATGAGGTATTTCGAGATGCCACATTGCTGGCAATCAAAGAGCACAAAGCTGTCCTGGACTGGATAGAAGAGCAACGCCAGGTACTGGCTGGCGAACCGACAGTCGGCAATGGCAACCCATGGCGAGGCGCTGAGCCTCCAACGACAAAGAATCGAGGCCGCGCATCTGCGACGGCAAATGCCCCCTCGCCGACCGCTCGAAATGCAGAGGCATTTACGACAATGATGAAATCCATGGGACTCATCCGATCGGTGAGCAGATCGCTAACACCAGAAATGCCGCCGAATGAGGAGGTCGCGAGGAGATTTTCGGAAGATTCTGGACCAGCCTTGTCACCACCGCCGAGGAACGTGATCGGCTTACAATCGTTGCCCGAACCGCCAACACAACCAGAAATGTCGGCGAAAACGAGATTCATACTGAGGTATATGGGATGTCCTGTTCCAGCCTTGTCACCTTCGGCGGGAAGCGTGGCTGGCTTACAGACGATGCCCGAATCGGTGACACCACCAGATATGTCGCCGGCGTCGAGGGCCGTAAGCAAATGGTTGGCAGGTTCTAATACAGGCTCACCACCACCACCCCTGGGGAACGTGATCAGCACAAGCGTGCACCCACGACCGAAGAAGCACACTTCTCCGGAAACCCATGTATCCGCACAACAGCCAGCATCTGGGCATGTACTCCGAAGCGCGGTACAGACTCAAAGCCAAGAGCAGGCTCAGAGCAAGACACTGTCACGGGCTCGAATTCCCGCACTGAAGTCAGGGGCTGTCCAGAAAACAAGGTCTGTTGGAAATTCATCAAAAAGCCGAAAGAGAAGGTTGTCCGAGAACGCACAATTGATTGTGATTGCGCAATCCGTCGAGGAGGCAGATTTGAGTGAGGTCGCGGAAACTGCGGAGATTGCCGAGTCTGTCGAAGGACCAGAGCCTATTCCAGAAGATAAATCAGTCAAGAAGACAAATCCGAGCAAGAAGGCTGCGAAGATACCTCGTCCCAGCAGAACCACCAGCAAACCTGTTGCGAAGAAAATAGAAGTCAAGGCCTTGCTTCCGGGCAAAGCTAAGGCTCCGAAAGTACAACGCGATCAGAAGCGCAAGATCGCAGGCAGAAAGGGACCAAATATCGAGACCGCTGCCACCGTCACCACCACCCGCGGAGGCCGCGTGGTAAAGAAGCCTGTGAGGTATGGGCTTGAACAGTGAAAGTTCTTGAAGAGGAGGAATTGCACGCAGATTGATCTCAGCGAAATCTTTGGAATCTCGTCAATGTTGATTATGATTGTGTGATATGGAAAATATTGCCTTTCTTGGAATCATGAAAGAGGAGGAATAGTAGACAAATTGTCTTCTGCAGGTGAGGTTGGACTATTGTTTCTTCGCCAGGATGTTTGTGTGTTCACTTCGAAATTTTGCTACGCAGCGTTTCAGCAGGTAGTACAGGCGCGTCAAGACAGCCAAGCAGAGCGATCGAAGTTGCTCTGCTTCGTTTAGAGCTCTCATGAAAGAGGAGGGATAGTACGCAAATTGTTATTAGCAATATCTTTGTTTTCGTATTGAATTTTATACGGGTGGTTTTTCAATTTGTTTGCGCCAAACATTTTCATGGGGAAGATCCTTGGATATGATCAGTGGTACAAGCGCTTCGAAAGTTCGAATGACTTCTCCTGGTATCCCAAGATCTTGCTCTGCATTGCACGACGAAGATTTTCGGACGTGACTAGCAGTACAGGCGCTTCAAGGTTTCGATGGCCTTTATCAGTTTTCAAAGACGAAAAATCATGAGTCAAAGTGCAGACATCCTTGAATATTATTAGTATTACAGGCGCTCCAAGACTCTCATCAACTTTCCTGGGTGTCCCAAGACGTTTCTTGAAATTGTGCACTCCGCCGTCCTTCACATGGCAAAGCTCGTGACCGCAGAAGATGATAGTCAAGGCCAGACGATCCCTCATGCCTGCATACGCGCCGCACGGAGATTTGACTTGAGCAAATTCGGTCGCAATTGGCATTCAAGGTTCCAGAGAGATCCAGGTTGTCCCTTGTACATCACGTAGCGTATCGCGCTGTGCATCATCGTGCACAACATCGTCACCTTTCACATTATCGTTTCATGCCTTGTCGCACGATCGTAACTTCCTGGGAAACGAAGGACGATCATAAATAGCATAAAACTGTGAAAGGTAGGTACAACTGCATCGCAATGGCCGGGCGCTTGATGATAGTCTGCGAAATGTCAACGGGACATGTTGTCTGAAGAAGCACCTCTTGCCCGCGGAGGACGCCTCAGGCTCTCGTGGACATGGCGAAACTCAGAACTCTCTCGGAGTCATACAGTGCATACTTGTCGGCGTGATAAAATAGGTCAGGGAAGTAATCAGAAGAGAAATCTTTCAAAGTGCTGTCGAGACAGCAAGGAAATATATGCATTAAAACAACAATCGCTGTGCAAGAATCGAAGTCATATGCTATGCCATGCTTATGCTCAAACGCTCTCGAAAGATGAAATAAAGAACCCCATCAAAGTGTACATGTGTCGTAACACAGGCGAACCTCTAAACAAGCTCATGCCGACGCAATCGACATGTCCAACAAATCCTCCGCATACTCATCAAGCGGAATAATACGAAATCGATCACCCCACTGCTTACTCCACGAGCGCTTCGTGTAGAGAGCAGAGATACTGCGACTCCAGCTCAGAAGCTCGACCGTCCACCCGTGCTTTAACGCACGCTCCAATGTCTTCAAGAAGCCATCGCTGTACTCTGCTTCTGCAGCATCACCCGTCGCGAGGACAATAGTGCCTGGCTTACCAGGATGATCCAACACTGACTCGCAAATTTTCAAATGCAAGATTTCATCGACGCCTTGTTCGACCATTTTCACACGGTCAAACTGAGGTGCTGATGCAGTGCCGGTGTCAGAACCAGATGTGTTTCCCGAGCTGTACTGTGCACGAGAGGATTTTGAGCGGTAGGGACTTTTCAGTTTGCGCGCCTCTTCCTGCTCTTTGAAATACACTTGACGTTCGGTCAACTGTCTGGCCTTTTCAACCTTTTCGAGGATGCTGCATTGGTAGCCAACAGCTTTGGCTTTGTCAAATGCTGGGAGGTGAGGTGTGGAGCCCACAAGAACACGCTTGGCTACCGGACGTCGTCGTTCCATGAGCAGGGCGAGAGAGTCGAAAGATAGGTCGGCGCGAGGAATCCGCACGTGGTCTGGTATGCCTCGAGAGAGCTTCATCTCTTTCATGAAACCGATGAAGATGTTGCTCGCGTCAACAAATATGTGAACGCCGTTTGGGTCATTGTTATGTGTTGTCAAATTCATGGGAGCCACGAGGGTCTTTCGATCCTCGGGAAAGTTCTTCATAATGCGTGTGAACAGATCCCAATCCTTATCTTCTGGTGCTCGAGCTACCTTGGGCTCAATAGAGCGCGGTGTTTGTGAGATGGGTTTCTTTATACGATGCTCAGTCTGCATCGGCCTTCCTCCGCCAGCCAAAGGTTGTACAGATGCAGGCAGAAACGCCAGCTTTGGTTTGGGTGTAGGTGTGTTGGGAGCAGTAACGCTGGCATCTTTGAGAACGCTTAGCGGCAGCTTATTCGTGGCAGTAGTATCACGGGTTATAGTGGTTTGGGCTTTCGCATTCACCTTTGCTGGCGCGGTGGCGGGTGCTTTGGGAAATAATGGTGACGCTGGTCGTTGTGGAGTGACCTTTTTCTTCTTAGGTGTTGCGGAACCTGCTTTAGTGACAGGTGTGTTTGAGATCTTTGCCGCCTGAGTATTCACAGCTTGGGTCTTGTCAGCCGGCTTTTGAACACTCTGCGCGAGAAGCTTTGGCTTTCCCTGCTTTGTCTGTTTTGGCGGAAGATCAAGGGCACAATTGACTAGTGGTGTCGACAGAGCGGCAGGCGTTGCTGGCTCTGACAGCGCCGGTGACCCAAGAAAGCTCCATACGTCTCCGAAGTTGCCGAGACCGGGCAGTTGCTCGACATCTCGTGATGGCGTCGCAGGCAAAAGCGACACGTCCCAATCCTTGAGAAACAATGGCTCGTGCTGTTTGGTGATGTCGAGCACGCGTGAGAAATCGCCCAGACTAAGCGCCATGGTGTCCGTGAAGGTGGAGGAGCGGCGGCTATGGGAGAGGTGGAGGTCGAATGGCGGTGATGATGAGAGAAGAATGGGTCAAGAGGGAGGAGGAGGAGGTCGAAGTGAGGAGAGGCGATCAGAAGTCATTGAGCATTGAGTTGTGTAGTGGAATGCGGGCAAGTACTGTCAAAGTAATGTACATTCATCAGGCGAGAATGAATCATGGAGCTCTGACACAACAACGAGGCGAGAGTGAGAGTCGGGCTGTGTTAACGTACCCTACCACCGAGCCGGTCACACCACCGAGCCGGTCAAAACGCGCCCACAACGCGTCTTCGAGCTTCTTCCTCTTATTATATGACAATATTTGCCTACAATGCTCTCTCAAACTGAGGGAAGACTTTCTTTAGCCCTTCAAGCATATATTACCCACCAAGTTCCATCTCTTCGAGCTGCAGCAAATGCATACGACGTTCCATTTGAAACCCTCCGCGAAAGACACCTCGGCATCCACCCACGCGCGCAAACCCTTGCGAACTCGCGTAAACTCAACAATAATGA